ATTCAGCCCTGCAACCTCCTGCATAGAAGATAATATTAATTAGTGGGCTATGAGCTAAATTCCTAAATTTAAACAAACCTCTATGATGCATTATGTACCAGCAATGTTACCTACGATTAACTGAATATGTAATAAGTCTAATAAATTCACCTACAAAAGCAAGTTCGATAGGTGCAAACTTTGTGTTATGGAATTGTATCGCAGCACAGTTTTGTATGACACCCTCTTTAAATGAAATTTCAATGATTAAGCGCAAACATTAAAATTACTAACTTTGAACTTTGTCATTATCTGCAAAATGTTCCACACAAATCTTTCCGCTATCGCGTTTGTAATCTTCTCTGATAAAAAAAAACGTCTATGATGTCCAGAATTGCTCTTTACAGCTTGCCTGTTATTCCAGCTTTCCAAGTAAGCAAAACTTCTTAGATATAGAGATTATTTTGTTTCGTTACAGGCGCAAAAAGGCAGGTACTACACGTAAAAAAGACGCCGAGTAGCAAAAGCGAGCGGAAAACGGACGCGAAAGGCGACGAGAAATATGTGCATTGGAGCGTATCATGAAATACAATGTTTTGCCTGTAGTCTTATGGAGTGACGTCAGAGTTGCCTATCATGTTGTTTAATGTCATTGGTTTACCGTACCGTCGATCAGCGTAAGGAAAAAATCGTAGCAAAGTACCGTAAGGACTTCGTTACGAGCCATCGACGTTCGATGTCACGTGATCAAAAAGAAGAGGAGTGTCGTCTATGCGTCCGCAGAACGTTCGGTGACGTCATACCAAACAAAAACAAATCTCACAGAGCTAACAGAAATATTTGAAATAAATAAAAGTAATAGCCTTCTGGAGAAAAACTTCATCTTTAACCGGTAAAAATTTCGAAGCAATCGGTCCAGTAATGAAAGAGAAAAGCGGTTTTTTAGATTTCCCACTAGATGTCCAAAAAGTGTCAAAGAACAACAATAAGACCAACATAATATTGAAACGATCGTTATGTCCACTACGTGTCCAAAAATGGATCTGCCTCCACAGCCCTTTCAAATGGAAGATATGACGCTTTAGGGGTAATTTCTATCAAATATTTTACAGTGTTATGGTTCCAGTGAAAATGGGTATAGGCGGCTTCTTTTAAAGTGTGGTAGGTCTAGTCGAAAGACACATTTAATGTTTATGCTAACAACTGCAAAATTGCAACGCATATAAGTTAACAGAATTTGTTGAAATGGTCCTGCATTTTGCCTTTCTTTAAAATCCCTCTTTTTCTAACTATTCTTTTCCTCTCTCGGGATGGCGAAAATTCAAATATTGATGGCTTTTATAAGCAGCTGATAATGGGTTCTCTTTCCTTTTTCCCAAAAAGAAATTAAACACTAATCATCAATTGACAGTGCCAAGTTTGTGTATCAGATCAGTAATAGATTACCTGCTAACTAACGAAACAATTAGACAACACCTTCTGACCGTTAATGAAGATTTCTTTTAATGTGAAACGCAAATATGCCTACCAATATCGGTAGTTTTTAGGAAAGGATTTATCATGGGGGGAGGATTGCAAGGTGCAACATCGTACGATTACCATTCTGTGTCGGGATTAGTTAGTCAGGTATTTGTTTTCAGAAGCATGGACTTGATGGTGGGGGATGTCGTAATTGACCAGCGGACGTGTGAACCACCTTCAGTGGGAGGAGAGCTGAAATCCTCTCGCACAAAACTATCCCCGCATGGGATTGGAACCTGTGAAACTACCAGGGTGGTCAGAGATGCGGTGGCGAGCGTATTTCTAGATGGCGAATTCAATTGAATTCTGGTTATTTTTTGCATGAGCACTGACTGGTGTTGAACTTTAGTTATCTATTCAACTTTTCACACTTACTAATAGATTACCTGCTAACCAGGGAAACAATACCTTATGGCAATTGATGATTTATTTCTTACACAAGTCAAGTCTGCAAGTAGGCCTACCAATAACAGTAGTTTGTCATCTTCTTCCCATTGAAATGAAAAAGCTTATGAATTGATAACGGCACATTATCACTCACCACCAACGAAGTGCTGTCCGCAAACAGTGAAACACAAGCGAGATGACTTCTGGACTTGACACCAAGCAGTCCTGCCAATAGATGATATCCACATTGCGCGACGTTCCGGATCTTCTGAAAACAGTGGAATATAACTGAAGATCCATTTCGTTGTCTATACCAGGGGTTCTCAAACTTCAGGTGTTGCGGAGCCCTTGAAAAGGTTGACTATTATTCACGGAGCCCCAAAATAAATGTTAAAATTATTACTTTCCGATTAATATTCCTGGGTAAATTAACTACTTTACTTAATTTAAATGCTAAACCTTTTTTAATAGGGTTAATACAAGTCATATAAAAATCTAAATTTCAAAGATAAATTATATATACTAAACCTGTAAATTTGACACTTGACAAACATATTAATAAATTGGGGGTCGAATCTTTTCCCGTTTGACATTTTCGTAAGACTTAAAAGGTCGCTAATAACGTGCGCGATTGCATTTTGTTACAATCGCCGATTATTTTCATCAGCATGGCGTGTTTTTAAACATCTTTACGCCGGTGTTTATTCTCCCTAAATCAAAAAATTCCTTCGGCATATACATGTATTGTTCCACAATGACAACGATAATTGCTTTTTGTTCTCGTGGGAAATTATGAGTTTAATGAGAAAATCATGTTACCATATTATAGTCATCGGCGATGAAATGGTAAAAATAATAAGAAAGAGGTAAATCCGCAACTCAAATTTCTTGATTGAAAAACATTCTAAAATATTATAACTTAAAATGGAAGATCACACTATAAGTTTGGTTTTTAGCAGACTCACGGTCAGATTAAAAACGCTTTTATAGGCATTGTAAATCACAAAATTTAGTGTTATGTTAGGTATTCTTTGGTTATTCATCGTAGTAACTACTAAATCGAAAAACAGTCAATTGTGCGCGCGATGTACCTTTTTTTATACTGAAACTAACGACGGAGCCGCATGCAATAAAATGAATTTCAATCGTTTGTATTTTGCCCGCCCCTTGTGATTTTTTAAACGGCGATATCTTGCTCAAAAATAATCTCAAGTGCGAAAGAATAGATCAAGTTTGACAAATCCCAAGATTGCAAAAATACGACTCCAATTTATTTAGAGTTGACAGTTTATCACGTATTTTATGTTATTTTAGACTAGTATTCTTTCATTTCAGCAATCCTAATAGTACTCTCGAATCAAACGTGAGTAACGATGAGCACAATTAAATTATTACGACAAGACGCTTTTAATGCTTGCATCGGTCATGAATTGAATATTTTACGCAACAAAAATCTCGTTATCCGTTTTCTCTAATCGCGAAAAATGTTGTGCGGGAATTTCCGATTCCAATTTCAAACCCCCCTCTTAAGAATCCTGGCAGCGCTCCAGCTTATAAATAATGTCATTTTTTAATTCCGCCTCTTTGCTTTATTTCGAGGCTATATTGTTGTCCAAATTCATCAAAGCTTCTTTGAACAGTTACAAAATTAGCCAAGTCAATATTTTGAAAAGTAATCGAATAGCTCGCGGAGCCCTGGGGCTCCGTACGGAGCACTTTGAGAACCTATGGTCTATACTATACATACAGCCAACGGTACAATACGAAATAACCATTTTCCACAGCCAAACAAAACGGAAACATATAATCCGACCTGCAACTGACAGGAGCCAACTGGACGTTTTTGTTTTTCTGCCGTCCAGTAAACAAAGTCACGTGATCCGTGCAAGTCCTCTATATAGCTCTGTGTTTTCAATGGACGTGTGCCCGAACCTTGACCCCTCAAAAATTCTCCCTGTATTTTTGAAGTGTTTTGGAGAGTTGGCGCTTACAAACTGGCTCACATGTTTGCAAACTATTTCTATTCAAAATCTTGAACCACGTGCCACTTACAGGCACTGATAGCTAATTTTAGGCTTGCCTATCTTAGCGTTTACGGTATCAATTTTTGATTATTGCAACTAAACTGAAGGTCCTCGGAGTATATCATGGCAATTAAGGTATCTGATTTACAGCTATTATTTGGAAACACAACTGAAAACTTACACGAAAACGAGGTAATGTTTACAACCATGCTTGAACATCTGTCTGAGTCTGAGAAATGACAATGACATGAAACAATGTGAAACAATGTCATGAAACACACGCCATTGATCTACTCTAAGCGAAAGAAGTGTCTCAGTGGCTGCAAATTGCAATTGTACGTCACTGTTAATTTATTTTCGATTGGTCACTTTCACGCAAATAAAATACAGGCAGGGCCGAATCATATGGCCTTTTGGAAGCCATAAGCACTTAAAAATTTGTTGCCCTATATGTAAATGATAATAAAAGGTATGTAACTAGTGGTGGTGGTGGTAACATTGGTGCCTTAAGCACGTGTTTATTTTGCTCAATGGTTTATTCAGCCTTGGCTACAACATCGCTGCATTATTATTCACTCACAAATCTGTCAGCATAATAGAGGGCGCCCCGGAGGTATTCGTGCCAAGATGACGCACAACCTTAACAACCCTAACCTGGTACCCATACTATGTCCAGGTTGTGCGCCATCTTGGTACGAATACTCCGGGATCACCTAATAGAGCAGGACTATGTCACTATATAGAGTTAGTCTCGCGTTGTGAAACTAATACTTTCAGTAAAATCGAATATTGACAGTATTAGAGTTACAGTTAAATGCAATTTACAATTTATTTATGCAATTTCTTAAGAACGATAAGTAATAATAACGTATTACGTAACTAAAATAAAATGTAAACGACATGTCAATGAACACGGAATGAAATAAACAAAGTGGTTGTCGAAATTTAGTTTCTAATTTAAATTAAAATTACAAAACAATCCATTTTCCCTTTTTTGTCTAATAAGGCTGTTTAAGCAATGACCTAATAATATCGTCATTTAGGTCATTCGTTCGAATATTTTTCACAGTTCCGATGAGGCAACGAGACGCGCACGCGGGAAAAAGGCTTTCCTTCTGTGTTGCTTTTGCGCATTGTCTAGTTGTGACCTCGCCGTGTTAGTTTCAATTTTTATCTCGCTGAATACAATTGTTTGGCACATAATTTCATTTAAAATGTCTATTGGAGTTCCAATCAAAGTACTTCATGAGGCGGAGGGCCATATTATCACATGTGAAACCGCGAATGGAGAAGTTTATCGTGGAAAACTCATAGAAGCTGAGGATAACATGAATAGTCAAATGACAGATGTAACTGTTACTTATAGAGACGGTAGAACAGCACAGTTGCAGAATATTTACATCCGCGGAAGTCAAGTTAGGTTTATGATTTTGCCTGATATGCTTAAAAATGCTCCGATGCTGAAGCAACAACGCGGTGGATCTGCCGGAAGAGGAAAAGCGGCTATTTTGAAAGCTCAAGTTCGCGGCCGCGGAAGAGGTGGATTCAGCAGAGGAGGCGGTGGTTTCAGGGGCCGTGGTGGGTTTGATTCTGCCAGCTTCCGTGGACGTCACTAATACTTGGATAGAGTTGAAAAAAGTTATTGGCCCAAGTCTTTTACTGTAGATTTTGTTGGAGCTGCTCCCACCGCCTTTCAATCTAAGCTTCTGCTATCCACAGATCCATGCTCACTGTCTGTGATTTATTCATTTCTAGTAGGCAGCTGATGTATTATATCATTCCATTATGTAGTTCTGGCTTGTGGTAAATTATTGATTGTTTTTAGTGTGACTGGATGATATTAATATCTATACTTATGTCCATTTTGGCATGATTATTTTATAATCATCCAGAAAATGTGTAAATTTCAATTTTTAAGTTTGGAATAATAGTCTACCAAATCTTAAAATATTAGGTAATACTTAATTTCGATTACATTTCTGTTATTATGTACATCATCTTGAGATTCCAATATTGGGAGTGCTGCATATGATTTTACATGTTTGTCTTGCACAATATTTGAATTATTTTTCATTCGTTTTGGTTTCTTTTACAACATCTGCCTGCCTGTCTGTAAAGTCAGACAGGTGTTGCAATTTTTGGTCTCCAAGTTTTATTCAACCTGGGACAATTTCTTCTAGCATTGCTCAAATGTGATTACTGGTATATCAATGTCTACAAACCAGAGCGAATTTTAACACAAGTTGAATTTGAATAATATTATTCTTGATCTGTGCATTTATTGTGATTTAATTTGCTGCTATTAGCTTCATTATTTCAGTCTGCTAAAGTTGGCATTATGTCTGTATGTTGTTGGTACCTTTTTTTGATGCCACTTTGGTATGCAATCCCAATGTCTGATCTAAGAGATTTTAGAATTATCCTAACCCTAACCCAGTGATGACAAATTTGGGATTAGAAACTAAACTCTATGAGAATTTCTTCTTGAGATTAAACTAAACTCTATGAGAATTTCTTCTTGAGATTAAGTAGTTTTATGATTCGAAATCGCATACCAAAGTGGCATCCTTTTTCAATCATGATAGGCTAGCGATACGTTGATTTTGTTTAGTGTGGATCTGGGAATATAACTTTGTCAGATTTTGGTTCGAGATTTAAATGGGTCCAATTTCTTTTTATAACAGATTTGAGTTCTTTTGTTATTGTGGTCTTGACATAATGATGGAAACTGTGCCTCCGACTCCCACAGCTGAAGAACGAAAAGTAGTTCAGGAATTTGGTGATTTATTGGAAGCTTCTAAAAATCTTTTCAATGGACTCCGGTAATTGAAATTCAATAATTTTGTAATGTGTTAAGTTATTTCTCTCATGAATTATTTCAAATGCAATCCATAAACATATTCAAGTGTGCTAAGGTAATTCTCAAGCATATCAAATACAAAGATCAGGATGTTTTTTAAAAACTTCTGTGACAGTTTTTCCAGATTGAAAATTTTGTGGTTTGAACACTTGTCTGGATAATATATATGAACGATTATTTAGAATACTACGGTACTTGGCAATTCGTCTTTCCGGAACTGCAGGTCAAACGTAAGGGTAGAATCATACACATTTAGAATCCATAACCTCAATATCCTGATTGATTGATCTTGTTACGCCTGACCAGATAATTAAAAGGATATGGTATGTATTTGTTGTTAATAATATTTCGTTCTTGCATTTCAGAGATCTACCTCAATATGGGCAAAGACAATGGCAACCATATTTTGCCAGAACTTTTGAGACATATACAAAGTTGTGGAAATTTCAACAAGAAAACAGGTTTATATTAATTCATTCTATGCTAAATTTGAATCCTTATTCTTGCTGTCTCAACCAGGGTGACCTAAACTACATAGACTATGCAGAAGATTGCTGGGCGGGGGGTGTTCTGAAAACTCCGTAGCTCTTTTTGTATTAGTGTCGATCCAGACCAAACGTGTGAAAAATCGTTACAATATTACAGACTGTTCAGTTACACACTTTTTATAAGATGATATGTGCAACATCACATAAAGTTTTTTACTTATTTTCAGACTGGTTTTAGACAGTGTATATGGATTAAAACGATGGCAAATAGGTGAAATTGCATCAAAGATTGGGCAATTATATTATCATTACTAGTAAGTGCTATTTAAAAATAATTTCCTTTAAAAATGTATTCGCCAAAAAAATCATAGTTTTACAAAAAACATATTGAAGTGTTATTTCAGCCTACGAACGAGTGAAGCGAATTATCTAAATGAAGCCTACCATTTTTACTCTGCAATAAGAACAAGGAATTATTACAAAAATGCACACAAGGAAGAAAGGTATCTTTATTTGTTCCTGTGATTTGGGGGTTTTAATAACTTGCTTTATTAATTACGTCAATATTCATTTTGTTTCAGTTGTTCTGATCTATTGTTGAAGAAGCATCGATATTATGCGAGATTCATTGTTGTTTGTTTATTACTTGATTACAAGCAGGATGTTTATAATCTTGTAATGGTAAGTTCTGTAGTGGTATGATGTTTATTTATCGCAAGAAAAAAAAATTATGCCTTTTTCATAAAGATGATATGGAAAAGATTTCCAATATTTTATATTTTTAAACTTTGTTTTGTTAATAAAAAGTCTACATGGAACAATGAGATGGGATGATTGAGAATAAAAGATTTGTTTTATTTTCGATGATCTATATACCTTATGCTCCAAATTTTTCATGTGCATTCATCATATCTCGGACCAAAAGCCTATTGATTTTGGATGAATTATGTCGTAGAATTTTCGAGATATTAATTAACACGGTGTCGCTATTGAGTCCGAGCGAAGGATACACGCCGCTAAATCGTTAAGTCGGCGGTCTTCAATTGCTATCTAGTTGTATCAGTTACTGCATTGCTGATAAACAACACATTTAAGCATCATGTTTGATATAGAATTCTGTTGTAGTGTTTTGCAAACAAAAAGCCTTTTAATATCACTTCAAATAATTCAGGATTTCTCTAAACAAGTAGAAGAACAGAAGCAGAATCTTGAAAACAATGGGCAGGAATGGACGCAAGTAGTTTCAGAAATAAAAGCTTTTCTTGACGTAGGCTATTTCGGTGATTTAATTTATTTTTCATCCACCCCCAAGTCCGTTTATCTGAAACAAATAACTTGCTAACTAGTCTCATACCTGACATGGACTGGTAACCAGGCAAGAAGCAGTGGTTAGGCACATGATTATGATTAAGCTGCCTTATCGTCTTTCCTCTCCATCGGGTTAAATATGTAAATCCTATCTTAATATAAGTTAATGAAATCTTTAATACTCTATTGACATACTTCAATGGGAAGTATGCAAAACCATATTCGTAGGGTTGACTTATGGACTGCTGATAAAATCCCATGTTGCAACTCTTTCAATCTGGTTGAAATTTTATCATCAACTTTGTATTTCAGGCAGAACCAGTTGAAGTTTTGAAAGCTGAAACTTATCAAAAATGTGATTTAAGCATGAGACTTTGTCCTGGAATATTACCTCCACCAGAGAAAGGTACGAAATTCAGTCTTTTCTTCCACTCCACAAAGTTCTGGTCCATTTACTGAATGTGTTTTTTTGTTAAAAAAATTTCCTATTGTTATGGTAAAATCACTTTTCTCTTTAGCTACTGGACCTATTGCTTCGAAATTTTCACTGGTTAACCGTTGTATTTTTCGCTAGAAGGCTTTTACTTTATTTTATTGGGCTATATGGGATTTGTTTCTTGTGTATGGACCTGCAGTTCAATATCCTAGTACTCTCCGCTGTGTCACTTAGTTGATTTAAAAATAATTACATACACTGTTGAGTCTTTTTGTCAAGCTTTATTGTTCGTTACTCATGTACTGGATGACAAAATTGAATTTTGTCTTTATGCCGATGAGTAATACAACTTATTTGCAATTGCCAGGTGTACAAGCCCATGTTACTCTTGGTGATGCCATCATTGTAGGAAACTCACCTTCACAACTTAAATTCTCTGAGTTAACGATCGATATGTTCAGAATGATACAGGTAGGAGCCTCTGTTTTTTGTTTCTAAAATTATTTGCTACGTGAATTACTTTGTGCAGGTAATAAATATGTCTGCTGAGAGTTTGCAAGTTCTGTAAATGAATTTGTTTTCTGTATCAACATATTTTACCAACCATAAGGCGCATCGTCAATTACATCGGGGTTTTCTCTATACAAAAGGCTATAAGATGCAACAGTTTTAATGGGGTATCGAGTTACCGTGAAAAGATCATTAAACATTAGAAAAGATCATCAATTATTGGAAAAAAATTTATGGTTTTTGTATTTTATTTTAAGAAAACGTAAAATGGCAATTTGTTTATAAAACAAAAGTACAGATACCAGTTTTGAATGTAGGTAATAAAGCATAAAGCTACCTGATGCATAAATTAGGCGCACTGGGCTGGCTTATAAGCACATGATTGATGATTGTGAAAAAAAAAAGGATTTAAACAGCACCTTATTGTCTGTGAAATACAGTACTCAACGAATAAATTTATTTCAGCAAGAGCAAGTGACGTTATGTGTTTTAAAATAAGATATTTTACTTCGATATTGCACTTTTGCTTAACCTCTCATCCTTTTTGTCAGGTTCTTGAAAGAAAACCAGTTTCGCCTAAAGATTCTCAAAAAAATGATAAAACCATCCCAACTAATGTAAGTGGCAAACTTTTTGAGTAGTAATATAGATAGATACACAGTGACCTCTATTAAAAAATTTAATTATTTATTTGAAATTTTTATCAGGAAAATGGCAAAACTCAACTAAAACGAGACAATCCTCACAAATATCTTTTGTATCGACCAACGTTTTATCAACTTTTTACGTTTGTATCTACTGCTGTAAAGGTAATGGTACTAGGTATATCAGTGGTTTTAACAGAGTTTTTGAGTTCCCTGGGGTTCTACCAGTTTCTATTCAAATCCGAAAGTCTATATTATTATTTGTATATTGTTTGAATAGTGTACAGTCAAATATAATATAATCATATAATAAGCGAAAGACTTTCAGGTGTTCCACTTACAAATTTTTTTATTGACATTTTTAAAAATACCACATATAATCAAATATACGTATAATTAATTGCACACGGGTTCCTTGAGGTGGAATGTTTGACTAGGATTCCGCTCTACCAAGAGGGTTGAAAAAATTTTTTTTGCTTCTCTAAATCTGGATATTTATTGAATTTTTTTTCACGTGTTCAGAATCTCAATTTACATATTTCTTTTCTCAGGAGCTACCACCTGGTCAAGCACTGCTTTTGTATATTTCGGCTCATGGCACTAAACCGAATCGACCACAAGACCCTGGTATGATGTTGCATTTTTGTCTTTTATTTTTTGAAAAACTGTCTTAAGCTGGTACTCCTGTAGTATGCGAACCAAGATGGCGGACACCTGATTGTAGTATGTGTACCAGGTTAGGCCTAGGCAATAATTTTATTCCAATTATTCTTATTTTAGTTCTATTACAAGTTCGGAGACTAGCTATGACCTAACCCTAACCTGGTACACATACTACGTTCCGGTGTAACCAATTATGAACCGAAAAAGTTCCGGTCCGTCAGGGATACAGTAGCTCCATACATATCATTGGCTGCTTGTGCAAAGACTTGTTTTGAGTGAAATACATGTGATGACATTCTGTGACGCCTTTATCTGCATCTTATTAATGTTTTCAAGTTTAAAGTTGTTATCCTTTATTTAGTAAACTGTATCTCGATAATAATTTTTTTAAGGCTTGACATTTTTATCATTCAAGGTGGGTACGAGTATGGAGGAGTGATAACGAATGATAGAAAAGATGAAGGCAATGTCTTAACAAAACTGTCACCAAAAAAGACTTCAACGTTGATAAAGAATATGCACTGGTCTGTTAAAGTAGTTTTATGCCATTTTTGTGTCCTTGATTTACAGTAGTACGTGGAAAAAAAATTATATCATATTTACCTGAACCTTCATATAATATGCACTTGTGACGAACAAGCGGACAGACCAGACCCTCTCGTTTTATTAGAAAATTTCTTGAAAATAACAATTATGAATGCCTTGAAGCGATCTACAAAACAAATTAGGTATTATAATGTAATATATACAATGTTATATGAGTCTTGAATTAAAGAATAATCGATAATTAAGAACAGTTTCATGATATGAATATTGTCATTTCCAGCAATAGAAGTTTCAAAATATGACCAAGAAGGTCGTTATTTACTCTTTGAAAATCATAAGTCATTTTTATCTTCACTTTGCTTCATGTTTAATTTAATTTGTGTCAATTTTCATATTATCATGTTCCTAAATGAACTAAAGACTTCATTATTTTTAGTCTACATCCTGGCGATTTGATTCCTTTTACAAGAAAACCATTGCTAATTATAATAGACAGCGACAATTCACGATCATTCGCTGAAATGCCGAATTACTTTGGACAACCTTTCATTTGTTTGATGAGTCCAGAAGAACTTCCTGCTGCGATGAAAGGTGGCTTTGACATTGAAATATTGAATGCGATCAGACTCAGAAGTTAAATAAGCACTTGATTCTCTTAGGTTCAATATTTTAGGAAAATTACTCATATCTGACATCTGAAACCATTTTTACGTAGATTTAATTTTTCTTGTTTAATGGAGTCTATATGAGAAAAAAACTGAAATTGATATTCAGATTGTTAAATTGACATGATCTTGTGTCGTTGATTTTTGCATTCCAGTCGCTATCGATAGTTCTCACAGAAGCTAGATAGTAACTATCTATTGATTTCAATGTAAAAATGAAGTTTAGTACATGGTAAAATATATATTTTGACAAGTCCATATCCGTTTTTAACTGGTTAGATAATTCAATATTTGATTGGATGAATTGCGTATTTTTATCTTCCTCTATATCAGATCTTCAACAAATGTGACATATTACTTTCATTTTTGCAGATAATTTTGAAAATGGACGTCTCCTCACATTATTCCTATATTCACCGGTATTTGCATTCATGCAAGTATGTGGTGTCAATCAGACATCTGACAGAGTTTATGAAACATGTTCACAAGTTGTTCATAAAGCTCTTGATGAGTCACAAAGGGCATATTTAAGGTCCAGGATATTGGGTAAGATATTAATTCATTTTTGCTCTATATTTTATATTTCCTAATATTTGGGTGTGATGGCTCAGTGGGTTAACGCAGACTGGAAGGCGCAAATAAATAATTTTATTTTATTTTACCAGATCATGGTTATCTTCAAATATTTGGTGATGATTTTCTCAGGTTGATTCTACTGCGATTTGTATTTTGTTTCTGTGTCTTACGACTTCATAGAGCTTTCAAGGTGAGAAAATGTTCCACTTCTGTTATGTTTTTCTTTTATTCGATGCATTTGGTTCAATTTGTAGTTTCATGAATTTAATAAATAAATAACATGGTTTTGGCAGGGTGTGAAAGGCATGAATAAGCATGAGTATAACTTTATTTCGATTTCCCTGAATTATTTCGAATTCCCTGAAACATTCACAAAACAATAAACACACAAAATTTTGGGAAAATCCGGAAAACTGGCAAAACCTTTGATAAAGTTCAAATCATATAGAAATTGTTCTGTAGATTTTCCGGTGTCATGAATTCTTCATAAAAAAAAAACTGTCTGTGTAATTTGTCATCACAAAAGGTTATTAACCCTGCAAATTCCATAGGTTTTATGATTTACTTCAACTTTCCATATTTAATAATTCAACTGCCTCTAATAGAATAACCATTTGAAGGGTAAAAGGCAGTCTGGTAATTGGCGTTAAAACTACTAAAATTATTGGGTGTTTTCTGCCAGGTCAAGAACCCGAAACTAGCTAATAATGAAACTTGCTAATGTGTATACGTATATCATTTACTACACAAAGTATTAGTTTTTTTGATGACTCTTATTTAAATACCAATTTTATCTTGTCTTATTTACTACAGGATGATTCCTATTATCCTTCATCCCATCCTGAATTACCTACAGAAGATTTTGTTGGAAATCCTGCAATAAATAAAGCAATTGTAGATATGGCAGATGTTCTTGGTGTCCGGACTTTATTTTTGGATGCCGATGGTCGTTGATGTTGCAATCTTAGGAACTTTTTTTTTACATTTTTGAAATAGAATATATTTTTATAGGAATTTTAAGGGGTACGTCATTCTTAATTTCTAATTGGTTTAAAAAAGTTCATAGATGGAAGTTATTTTTGGAGCACAGGCCCCGGTTATTGTCGGTTAGTTATTTCTATTCGAAAAGAAATAATTTTAACAACCGCCCTTGACAGTCCATTAAATAATGCCTGACGACTTCTCATGTCGAAATTTGATTTTCTTAGAGTTAGTCGCAATTATTTACGACCCGAAGTCTCAACTGACGCTAAGTGTCTTTTTCCTATGCCACAGCCTTGGGTGTGAGAACGGCGTACGTATGGGGAGCGCATTTTATTTTGTGCCTATAAAACATTGTATATTATTCGAGCTGCTATCGTGTGGTCGAGGTGGGTGGAAAATAGATGTAGGGATTTATTTGCTGTCGTAAGAATATTCAATTTGAAAGATATATCATTTTGCAGACCGACTGAGGCAATAGTACTATGCAAAGGTGTCTCTGCAGTAGGTTTTTCAGTGGCGATTATAATACCCGACTGGAAATATCCATTATCGGTTTCGGGAATGTACTTGTGTTATATAGCCTGTAATATATATACGTAATATTGGGAAATTTGTAATCATACCTACAAGAAAGCTAGTTCAAAATTCATATCTTGCTGTAAATGTGTGCGTTATATTGTTATATTCTTCATACGGTGTCTCTAACAACGTCGCACTGTCATACTTATGCGAGATGAACATCACGTTTAATTTGCTTAAATAAGGCTGTGTGCTGCGTAACTCCGAGTTCCGCCAAACCTGTACTATCACAAAGTACGAGAAATTTACTATATTGTGATATATATACAGTAAATATAGCACGCTCACATTAAGGTATGATAGTAAACAAGTTGAAGAATATACACACAAAAAGAACACACCGGGTCAAATATGAAACGGACGTATGCATTAGAATTTTAACTGATAAACTGTTCAGCCTTCGTGATGTAGAATTGTCAGCCTTCGTATTGATTCGATGAGCTGCTCATCTGAGGACAAATAAGAATATTTTTATTTGAGAAAGCCTTCGCTGCGAAACAGTATAGTTATTTGAAGTAAAATTTGAACTGTAGTTACAGGTGTACCATAGTCGAAAATAGCATGTTTCATTGGGACCGGAGCAGTATTTTTTATCACCTGGGACTGGGAGGCGCAGTCAAATTTTCGGTACTTCCGAATTATGTGTACCAGCTTAGGGTTAGGCCATAATTATATTCCAATTTTCCTTATTTATTACTTTATTTTTCTTATTCCTTTATTTAGTTCTATTACGAGTTCGGGGACTAGCCAAGTGACTCCCGTAGTATTTGTATCTGAAATTATGGCCTAACCCTGACCTGGTACACATACTACGTTCCGGTGTCTAACATCTTGGTTCACATTCTTTGGTGGGAGTACCAAATTTTCCTACTTTAATTACGATAGCCTAAGACAAAATATTTCTTTACAGAAACTTCAAAAAAAAAAAAAAAACACGATCATTTTTTATATCAGGCTAGGAAAATCTCCATCAACCTGGAGTGGCGGAAGCCAATTCGGAGTCAGAATTTTCATAATCTGAATCCGGAGTCGATTGTAAATTTTCCCCGACTTCACAGCGCTGTTAGCTGCAACTCAGTCTGGTATTTGAAACGCAAGAGTTGTCAAAAATAAGTTTCGAGTCTCAAAATGAGTTTATCAGAACAAAATGCGAATTGATAAATTGAACGCGTGCATTACAGTTGGGTCTGAAGTCGTTTAGGACGCTTTACGAAACAATCTAGCTCGCGGAACTCAAGAATATGGTAATAAGACTCAACAACGGAACATTTACTACACCTGTTTGATCGCCTTTTCTTTTTCCCGATCCTCTGTTTTTTTCCTGCCATAGCAGAAGACATTTCAATTTTTGTTCTTTCAAAGGCGCGTCGTAGTCAATATTATGGTTGATCTCACGATTTGTCAAATTGAGAGCGCTACTGGAATCTGCAAATCTACTCCAAGTATCGACTTCAGTAAAGGAAGGAACGATTTCGTATCGAAAAACGTCTTCGATAGATCTTCCTAAATAAATATAAATGAAAATACTTACGTAACTTCGATGCTAAATAATAAATGAGAAAATATTTATACGTATCATTTAGTTACGAATTTTCGTAGTGCGCGGTTTTCACATTTATATATATTTTTGAATCTCACCTGGTGTGGCTGTCCATGTTTCACTCCAATCCACCTCAACGACAACTTGTTCCTCGTGAGTGTATACACTTCAGAGTAAATCGTTCGTCACCAACAGGAAGTGTACGGAGGCAGAAGTTAGTAAAGTAGCTATGCTCATTTTTGGCTATGTTTTCTTTCACACTGAAAATATCTGAAGAAAATTTATCAAATTTAACTACATTGCTCTGCGGGACAGACAACTCCATTCAAATCAAATCTCTTCCTTTCACGGATATCGGATTTGTGACCAGTCTAGACGGCTCGTATCTCTTGGTCTCGAGTTTTTTGCGCCAGATTTCTTCAACAGACTTATCTTTTACATATAGAACTCCAACAAAGTTACCTTCTGGGCTGAACCAAACGTCTGAATGTAATTTATAAATGGTGTGATGGATGAGACATTTCTTAACTGTTGCGACAAATTTGTTCACCCATTTAGTTGAAAATCTTATATCTTGTTTGGCGTTACTCAAACACTCTTCGTGGATAGGCTTCCATTGATCTCCTTCTTTGGCGTGAGACAATATTATAACTTGTACATTCGGGTCATCAGTTTCGCACCAACGTGGAAGAGTTACTTTTGCAGCCTCGTACAACTCCATCTTTGGAATACATTCCATAACGGGGCTGATTGGCAAAACATCATTTGGCAAATTTGTCTTTTTTGCATTCACGTTTAGTTGGAAGGAAACTTCATGATCAAGGCCACCTTCAGGAATTAGCAATTGACAATGGTTGTCAACGACACGCCCACCCTGAGATCCAATGACACTCTCTGAAAATAATATTATTTTCCATTGTTAACAACTGTGCAAAGTTGAAATATATAAGATTGCCTTTTATGTTACTGGCATAGACTATAATACTATAGACATATTACATATAATGAGAGGTACATACCTTTACACTGATCTTCTCGGCGGATAATGTTGAACTTATCAAGAGTGTTCTCCATGTCTTTCATAAGAAATTCTTTCAAACTTTCATTTTTCCACGAAACAGAATTTTCGTAGAGAGTTTTAGCTTTGTCCATATTGTTGAAAGCATTGTCTATTTGATTTAGTTTTTCCTGCCGTTTCCCGTCGAGATGAAGTACAAATCCTGCCAATTTTTTGTAATATCTTTTTGCGACATTGTACGTTGGTTTAACCAGAATATCCCAGTATTTATCAAACGTACGAAGTAGCTTATTATAAGACCTAGACATGGGTATTTCGATAAGCTTTAAATTGTGCAATAGGTGACCAAACCATTGAACTTGATATATCTCATTTTTTCCCATAATCTTGCAGTGCATCATATTCCTTAAAGCAATTGCCATTAGATCTTTATCGACTTGTGGAATCTTTGCCTCGTCAACGTCAATTTTGTATTTTTGAAATTGCTCGCTGGCGATGTTTAAACTTTCTAAAATATCCTTAATATCAGTTGTTGGGTCATTTTTGAAGTTAACGACTTCATCGATAATGCTTCCTAGAGTATCTGAAACGTCTACAACATTTCCATCTTTGCTGGAACTGGATGTCAATCCATCACCTGTAATAAAAATAATCCGTAAGTGACGGGCAATAGCTGATTTCTCTCACGTCACAAATTATTATGCATTATGCGTGGTTCTTTTACCATTTACCAGATTTACAATTTAAAATAGTTTAAGAATACCCAATTCGACTGGTATGGGTCGAGATCATTTGATCCAAATATATATACTTAATTTTGTTTTCAATATATATATTGGCAGAAACCAGCCAGGCCTCAAATCTTAAAATCTAATTCATCTTGATTATTGAACACATTATTTAGTCTTGGTGTACATACTAATTGTTTGCCAAATTCCTGCTATTATTGTTTTATTCTAGTTGTTGTTGTTGTTTTCTCGGCAATAACCACAGAAATAACTACAACAACAAATTAGCAGAAAAATCAGAAGATCCAATTTGTGTGCATTTCATGCAGCCACAAACTACCACCTTTCTAACTCACGTGCTTTGGCATTTTTCTCTAACACTTCGTTGTCTGTCGGTAAAGAAATTTGTCCAAAATTGTCGTTCCAGAAGTTGTCGAAATCTTGTCGTAAGTCGCTGAAAATATCTGGTTTTTCTTGGCTCATAGTCAATGATTGAATCTAAAAATTCAGTCTTTCACAACAAGCTGCTCCCGCGTCGCAAACTCTACAATTCCAATAACTTCTCTATGAAAGCCGACCACGAATATACATATAAAAAAATACCAACCAACCCTTATTTGGTATGAAACTTATTGACCTCGAAATACTGACACAAGCTTGGTATAATCGTGAAAATCGCTTTCAGAGAGATACCTATCTATAGCCCTTGCTTGGAGTAAGAGAGAACTAGCCCTTGGTCCTGTTTTCACAGACGGCTTCATGTATCTTTGCAATCAGGATAACTATATTGATATTATTGTCTGACAATTTACATACAGATGTGGACGCCCTTTTTGTTATGTTGGTGTCGTATATCGCCTGAGAAGGGCTTATCACTCAAACGTTTAACGCTGAATACAATACGACACGAACGAGTTGAACAATGTTCTTAAATCACAACAGACGCTTAAAGAAATATAACCAAAACATAACAAAAAGGTCAAAACGACAAAATGAGACAATAAGTGGGTCGGACATGTTATAAAAGAAAATATTGAAAAAGATCGACCAAATATGTGCTGAATGATATATCATGACCTCAGACTCGCTGCCAAATAAACAAACCACAATTTTAGAATAATGGCAAATAAGCCTGCAAACTGCAAACTGTAAGCCTACTTGTCAAACTAAATTTGCGAATTCAAATGACATATAAAAAGTTAGTGGCGGGATGTTAATGAGATGTTCCCTAGGAAAAGTAGTTTCAATCCACGGATCCAACAATAAATATTCATTATAAACAACGTAGCAATGCTCAAATATATGGACACGGAGGCCAAAACGAAGTAGCATCCAATTATTTCAAAACAATTGGTCCAATCTGTAGGTTCACTTCGTGTACAATAAAATGATATAATGCGGCATGCCAAGTACTGATTTGTCCATCATTTTTATGTGGGTTACTATTTGGCTATGTTATGTATTGGTGACAAGCACAAAAAACAAACAGTTTATTTAGATTATCAATGCTGCGGGCCTACGGCTGGCATAGGCAGAAATATATATTTTAATCAAAAGATCAATCGCCATAACTGGGGTCAAATTACTCGTAAAAGTTTATAATCAGTGAAATATTGTTTTCTTATCTTGCGTCATTTTTCTCTCTGCAATTTTCTGTTTTAATGCCCTCAAGCGTAAATCTTCCTGTGAAAGTGAGATAGCCTATATATGCCTTTAGTAAGCTGCTTTACTATTATCGATATGGATTATTTTACAGACGTAGAAGAGCTTTGCAATTGAAGTAATCGTCGCCTTTAAAATATTTCATGATAGCGTAGGGGTAGATATACTTAGTCAAGGTGCAGGGGCCAAGTAAGTAACCTATTGAATTTCAGGAATTTTGACGAGGTCGTTGGGAATGAATTAATATTATCTACTTGGTTATGTTTTGAAAAAATTCAAAATTGGAAAAAGCACGGAAAATGAATGTATTCTTGCTAATAATGTAAGTTAAAACAAGTGGGAGAAGAATTATTTGAAAACTTCAAAAGCTGCCAAACAATCCTAACATACCGGTATGTGATGCCGATCTGAAAATAATGAATTTTGTTAGGCTACTTCAGTTGAAGTGACGAATATGGCAAATCGTATTTTAACATAGCAATACTGTAGAATGCGAAATTATGTTTCAAGAATATCCACTTCACACTCCAATAACAAGTCGAGTTCTAGAGTCGTTTCCCTGAAGATTATTAAATCCTTGATTTTATCCGTCTTGTGTTTATATTTATATATCACGTAAAATATTATTATTTTTGCAATCAAAAGTGGATAATCGGATTTGAATATTTATGAAAATATCAAAATTTAATCATAAAGGTCGTCTTCTAACACATATAAATAACAGAACCATGTCGGCTAGGAAGTAAATGAAAATAGCATAATCTTTTTCCACGAAATCTTGCTATTCTTATTTATCTTTATAATACTATCTCGCTCAAGCATGCTTGTGGCAACTGACACAAACGGATCCGGAAGTAGGGAGTAAACAAGGAGAACGGACTTGCAGGTCAGTACACAACATCCTAGTACCGCATAGTGGGGAAGTAGTCTGCATACAACGTCAAAACGCGTGGCGTATAGATCATTTCAGATTAGCTGAAATCCTTGCAGATGTCAAGAAGGCAGTGCTAGGGCACAGCACGGCATTCACGCAGTTCAGCAGATTCGTAAATTGTTCCGTGGACGAGATTTACAAAGTAGCAGGTTATCTCTAGCGTGGATGTTCTGTAATTACGACACCACTAATTTTTTGAGCTATATTTTTTATTCTGCTTGTAGTAGGTAAGGAGTTTGAATAGCAAAAGAATTGAACAACGTATAATAAATGGGGAAAGGTATGACTAATTTATCCTATTCTTAATTTAACTCAAAACAAACAAAATAAAGGAACGTTAGTGGTAACATGATAGTACGCGAGGATAGAACCTTTGGTCATATATATGTCTATACGTTAATCGATTTTAATACGTTAATCGATTAAATCTTAAATTTTCGAATGCGACATCTTATATATATTGTTAGGATGGGGTTCGTGCTTCACAGAAACATTTCAGTCAAAACGTATTTTTTATCCTATTTATCTAAAATTATATAAAAGAAAAATATGTAGTGTATCTGTAATTATTAAAATCTTGATAATAGCGAACTTCCAGTATATACATTCAATGTTTTGTTATCTGTGTCAAGATACGTCAAGAAATTAAGTGATTTTTTCATCTCAGAGAACCAGGTAAATAAGTCATTGTTCGAGTTGTGTAATCGTCATGGAACGAGTATTTGGTTGGCAATAAATATGTCCTATTTGGAGTTCTTACTTGGTAGCAATCATGGTCTGCCATGTTATTGAATCTTACACGTGTGATTGGTAAGCTATTTACACACCCTTTGCGGCGAGGTGACTGGATGCGAGTCATTGTTTGTCATGTGATAGAATGTTATCAACTTTTGTATCGCCTGAGATAAAGTTTATCCAAGCCCTGTAATTAATGACACAAAATTAATCCAGAGAGTCGTGGCCGTTGAACTTGTTTCATTATCTGGAACGACAAGCGTAGTCCTTGCAGTTTCAACCCCTAATGTAAAATATGTGTAGTCTTACGCCCCATGCTGTTGGGCTTGCTTGTTTTGGAGCTTCGCACATGCATCGTCAAAAATTTGAGTTAAACTTGAAATTTCCAGTGGGTGGTAGGCCTACGTCTATTCAGATACTTGATATAACGCAGTAATGATTGCAGACAATATCAATTGTTTCTAGTTTCTCGTCGTAAACCAAATTGTTGAAAGGAATTGCTTGCTCGAATGGTCAGCAATAATCATGACGTCATGTATTTTGAAATAGGATACAGTAACACGATGCTAATTCGGAAATTGTTGGGAAGAAGTTTGAAAGCGGCGGTCTTAAATAGAAACCTGCTGCTTGGCTTGTAGGAGTAATCAATATAACAGTGAGGTTGAGATTTCTGTATATATAGTTGCCACCAAACGTACTGGTCAAAGAACAGTTACGATTTTAGTTATAGATTTTCATGAATAGTTTCGTTGGACCCCAAAAGTTAATCTCTCTACTCTTCCTGAGTGAAATATGTGCCTGTCAGGGTACAAGCTGGAACGAAGTAGCTAAACAAGTTTGCTCAGGGCTCGATTAAGTCAAGAGTTATTTTCGACCCAGCCTATCATGAAAAAACGTTTGTTGACCGCAAAATACACAGGGTGAGATACATCGAAACGTAGAATTTAATTAGTAACTCAGTGTGCCTATCATCTCTGATATTGTCGAACAAATATAGTTTATCGTTATTATTCAACATCGCCTGACTCGCAAACAAAATTAACCCTTCAGACGTATTTCGTGCTGCTAATAAAGCTAACATCAAGATATGTGGCCGAAGAGTTAACAGGAAGAGACGTGATGAAGCTCTTTCTAGTAATAATAATAGACTAATGCTGAAGGAACAAAATCAGTAATTTAACTGTAGGTAAACAGAAATTGTTCATGAGCGTTTTAATATGATGTATCTTACACAAGAACAGGAGATACACGCAAATCCTGGTGCAGATTCTGAATAGAACACCAACCAACGAATGCTCAGATATAAGATTAGAGTTACTGTGTGTCTGAAGTGAGTTTTTTTGATTTTTCTTACTGTTTGTAGGTGACAGATTGGTTATGGTATGATGGCCTGTATTTCCTCGTATGATATCGCGGTGTATTTGTCGTGGACTGATGTGACTCGTACAGTAATCAACAGGCAGGTCCTTCAAAACGCAGAGTGTGTGATATTGCTATAAGACTAAGTCAAAAATTTGAATTCACTTGGCGTGCCAGACTTGAGGAAATTTCTTACAATAATTGAAACGATGAGCAATTAATTGTTTGCTCCATACTTGTCCATAACCAATCCCAAGATACTTGAAGACAATGGCAACCAAAGAAAGGAAATTGCACTAGGAAGCGGATGACAATATGCTGAGTAATTTCACGCAAGTTAATTTTTTTTAGTATATTATCACAATCTTGTAGCTCACGAGGAACACAATATGGATTTGTGTTTAACATTTGTGGTAAACGAAAATGGTTTTGAATAGAATGGGTGGGAAGAATATTCATTGTTAAATTGAATGGAGTCATTACTAAGTGACGGCCTGAACAAAGGCAGTCATGAATTTTATTTCCATGCTGATCTTTCAATATATTGTTGAATATTATTGACGATGTAAGTCAATGATTGCGCTACTCTATTGTTTCATATTCTATTTTAAAATATTAAAATTTTTTTAAAGAGCGCTTCAGACGGCTTATGAATGTGGCGAGTCGCGAATAACATTACAGGCATGAGGATTCATAAATGCTCTTCCGCTTGGTAAACTAGTTCTGATTGCGAACCCGTGCAGAAATATCTGTGGTGCGATCGCGAGTGTGTTTCAAGCGCATTGTCTTGAGACTGTGCATCGTTTTATTTTGTAACTTTCATCTATAATTCATAAGCTTATGATCCTGTTTTTAGAAATTAAAATTTTGTTTTATCAAACTGAAAGTTAAAAGCAATAGATAAAAAGAATTGTAACTATGCCTAATAATTCTTAAATCCAGTGTTACATTTACGCTTTTCACATTGTGTTTAGACACTGACGAAAGGTAATCCCACACAATGTGTTAGCGCGGTCTAATTAAGTTTTGTTGATATTTTCTTAAAAAGGAGTTGATATTGCGAAGTGTTGAATTGTCAATTGGTTCTTTCCGAAGCAAATGATAAGTGTAAACCTAGTAAGAAATTATGTATTCATCAAATGTCTAGAAATCGATGGTATGGTGTGGTCATTTCCTGACAGTCGATGGTGATACGATGTTTTATAATTTTTGATGAAGACCGCTTCTATTTTTCGGTAGCTTTCAGAGGTCTCCTGTATATCTCTGATTAGAGACGAGGGTACGAGTCCACTTTTATTTCTGATATCGTTGTTTTGTTGGGATTGAAACCTTCCATTTTTTAAATTTCTCTTCATACATGACGGGTTTAGTGATAAAGGATTTTGCTGACACGGTAGGTTGAATATTTTTGCCCATGTCCTTGGGACCCTAACTCAAGGCCAGTGAAGTCCTGGGATCTGCCAGCATTGACATTTGTTTATCATGCAAGCAAACGCTTCTAGATATGAGATAAATAGATTCTTTATAATGTGAGTCTTGTTTCTGAACCTGCAGATCAACATTGAATGTCTTTCGATTTACTTTTCTCATTTTATTGTCGAATAAATACGAATTGTTGTACTCGGTAAACAGAATTTGAGTCGTATTGAACTAACGATCGTAACGTTGTCGTTGTCTGAATTTTTAGTTAACAATTAACTTTGTGGTGACTAGTATGATATGAAATACGTATAAATTTCAATTTTTAAATTAGGTTGTAGTATACGGACTGAGTTAGCACAAAAGTGTAGGCGTAGTATATCTGTATGTCAAGGTGTGGGATAGAGTAAACGCAGACATAGTCAATGCGAAAGTAACATTTTGCCTATTCTTGATAAGGTCTGCAAAACACAGGATGACGATATTCTTCTAAAAATTTTCATAATTATTTTATCATATATTGGTGCAAATCATCTTTCAACATGCTTCAATCGTTTTCGATGGTTGGTTGCACTTGTTTTATTTTAATATACGAGGCAAACTTCCAGCGTTCATTGTCTGGTATACTATATACACAAGCCGCCCGTGTACGTGATTCAGCCGTGTCTATCCTTACAGAAATCTTTAAAGCTTATTTGGGTGGCTGTAAAAGTTTACTGTAGGGTGAAAATGCTCTAAATATAATATGAAATAGCGTCTTTTCATTAGATGTTTATTTTCAAAGGGTATAGGTGCAAAACTATATCTGGAAATTCATTTATACGTTCTACATCTATGGCATAAAATGGAAAGAATTAATTTTACTATACGGATGCAAAATAACAAAATTTCGAGTTGAGGTTATATGATTAGGTAATCCATACATTTTACATAAGTTGCATCTTTCAGAGTAGCGAATGTAGTAATCAATCTAAAGATATTGGATAGGTTTACCATTTATATATGGTTAATTCGTGATCAGATTGAGCAATCGACAATATATACAGGGATTGATCTTACCAATACTAGTTTTGCATACATGCACGTAAAGCCTAATTTACATTTGTTCGGCAGCATAGCATGTCATTGTAAACATGAATGTCCTAACCATGAGTAGAACTGGCAACGTCTGTGAAATCTATAGTTAGTACGAAATTCGCTTTTCTAAAGACTATGAAACGGTATACAAACGCGGAAATTGTATTGTTTTTATAACGTTGAACAAAAGTGATTGGTCAATACTTTACTTTGTTGAATGTATTCGTATAGATTTAGAATAGAATACGCGATAATAATGCCGAGAATGTTAGGAGTTTCAACCTTGTAAAGAGGTTACTGGATGTAAGTCTTTAGAATAGCTGCCACCAAAAGTATAATAGTCCGCAAGCTTTATCTATCTGTACGCATCAGATCCCTTTGTCGATGATACGTGCGGCCTAAGAGCACTCAAGTTTTTTAGTTTTGCGTTCTTATGAAACTGCTGAGGGATGAAATATTTCAATAAGTTTCAGAGTTCAATAAGCGGAAACTCAAATGAGCTTTCACGCATCGGTTCAATGCTTTGAACAGAGTGAAATGTCATACATATGCTGTTGTTCAGTTGAAGCGCAAGGGTGAAATTAAAATGACTTGGAACTGTTGCAAATATGTATTTGCGACAAACGTCTTCCTATCCGATACTAGAGTACTCAACGAAAGTATAATCTGAGGTTTTCAAAATTGAAAGGAATAAAAATATATTCAGTGAAAGTTGCAAAGTCGTTACAACGTTGATTGAATTTTGAAATGTCAAGGTGCCATTTATACTTTTATTTTTATCTCGACTGATGATAGTTAAAATGCTTATTGCAGCAATTCCGATTAATTCTTGTGGATGGATCGTTCCTAATTGAGCCGACCAAAATATTTTTGCGCTACAATTATTCTTCAACATTTTACTTGAATTCCGATTTCGAGATCAAATTAACTTTTCGAAAGAATCGTTAACTTCAAAACGTATGATAATTTTTATACAACGTTTATTTTTTGTTTTATTAGTAACGTTTAGTTTCACTTACTAACGGCCTTTCCAATAGCATCTGAATATGGCTGATCTGACCGCAATATTTGAAACTGCTGGCAAGAAAGAAGGCGTACAGGCATGGCGAATAGAAAAATTGAATTTAGTGGCAAACGCCCAAGCATTGCTGGGAAATTTCCATGTTGGAGACTCGTACATTGTTCTGAAGACCATTGAAGGTTTGCAAGGATATATATTCTTGTATCTTGTATTATTGAATTATAATTTAACTTCAATTATAAACACGTTGAACATAGTAAGACTAGCACCCATTGCCGTTATAGAATTAAAGCATTTTGGCATTCTCTGCGAATAAAAAATCCATTTTTATTTCAGCTAAATGCGGAAAAATGCGATGGCATCTTCATTTCTGGCTGGGCAGGGAATCGAGTCAAGACGAACGTGGAGCAGCAGCGATAATAACTTGCCAAATGGATGACTACTTAGGAGGAGAGCCTGTTCAATACAGACAAACACAAGAACACGAAAGTCGTGAATTCATGGCACTTTTCAAAAACGGAGTCAAGTATTCGGTAATATTCGATTATACCCATACAAAAGAGATTTAGTATCCAAGTTATTTGTCTACTACTACATTTATCAGCTCATATAAAGTTATTTGGATAAAATAGATTGATAAAAGCATCTTTTCATTTTCATATTTGCCTTTCTTATTAACTCACTCACAAAAGACTAAACGTATTATGAGGCAAAATGATGGAGCATCATCCTGGACGCAAACTCAAATATTTGACTTATGGCAGATGCACATAGCTGTATTGTCATAGCCACCATTGAGACGAGTTTTGCTGACTGAACTTCTTTATACAAGAGAAGTAGCGTCGTGTCGCCAATTCATGTACATTGTTCCGATTTTTCGTCTGTTTTATGGTAAACATTGAACTTGAATTTGAAATATGATAGCTATAAATCGCTTGTTAAACTTGATTTAGTTAGGGAAGGAACATGGATTCATATTATATTTCTGACAGATAATCAAATACCAAATCTGGGTTGAGTCACTAAGAAATGGATAAAAATGCAGTAACTATATGAAATCCTCTGCTTGCAATAAAATATTCCGTATTCGCTATCTGAATCCCTGTGAACCCTGTACTCTGCGAACAAGAATTTCCCGGAGATTAATTACGGGTTTTAAAATTGGGTGAAAGTACCAGTTTCATATCGTTATTGCTGTGTAAACTTTAACATATGCTTTATCTTTGATAAATATTTGTTCAATTTATCTCTGTTCGATGATTCGTAGAACCATGTTTGTTCAAACGTGTATAAGATGATAATATTTTACGCCTGATGGTTTGCTCATGTTTGCTAAGCCATAATGCAGAAAATTCTCCTCGGAACCAGAACTGTTGAATATTAACTCGTTTCTGATAGTGTTCTGGTAAAACCTGCCAAAAGGGTCACATTTTCATACTTCCGCAATAAGGAAATTGCTAAATAAGGATATTGGGTACTCATGTAGTATGTGAACCGAGGTGGTGGACACCGAAACGTAGTATGTGTATCAGGTTATAGTTAGGTCATAATCTTAATAGAAATAAAATAACATACTACGGGAGCGCCGGATAATAGACCATGTAATTAGTCAAAAACAAAAACCTAGTTAATTTGCATTGATTACTCTTAAAATTATTACTGTTTTCGAAACAAAAATCTTGATAGTCGAAAAATATATTTGATTGAAATAACAAGTAACGTCGGTTCACACTACGCGTTTCCGGGTCGATGCTTTTGCAAACAGTCAGCAAGATGTGAATCAGAATGTTTTTGGCTGAACGTCATCGAGGTAATCTAACAATGAAAATAAACATTCATGTTCTTACACCGTGTTATGTTGAATAGCAAAAGTATATGTAAACTCTAACGGCCCGTTGCGCCGGAAATCGCAATGATGTGCCATGTTATTCGAATGACACATTCGACCGTACGCGATTAAACCGACAAATAAAGCGTCAGAATAGTGTTCAGAAAAAGGCGTGTGAATGCTACCTAAATATGCATTTTATCTATTGAAGAGTCACGACAAAATGATACAGACGTACAATATTTCAACAACATTAAAAACTGCGAGTTGAGCCGAACATTTGTTCATTTGTTGCGTCATTAATCCATCATGTTTCAATGTATATTACACGATTCTTACAATGAATCAAATTTTCTTGTATAAATAATTCATGGGAGATCTTTCAAGATTAGCACATAGTGAATGAGCTTTTAATGAGGGATAATTCGCAAGAAACAATGTTTTAGTGTTCCATGGCCGTCACAATCGATTTTTTGAGTAAGAAATTCGATTCGAGAACGCTACTAAAAAAATACATGTTTATTTCATAGTCTGGTAAAACAAATACAAATAATCCGAAATAAGACGGATCTGTACTGTGACAATATTGCTTTTATTGGAATATAACTTCATTTTTAGCAAGGTGGAGTAGCATCTGGATTCAAGCAGGTAAAAACAAACGTCAGTGAATCGAAACGACTTCTTCATGTCAAAGGTAGAAGATCAGTTCGCGCGACAGAAGTTCCGATGAAATGGTCAAGCTTCAATCAAGGAGACAGTTTTATTCTCGATTATGGAAATGTTAGTATTGCGCTGTCAGAATGTATTCCGTTTTATACTTCGAAGCCAAATATAATAGTTTTTATTTGATGCACTTTTATAATAACACATTTACTTTTACTTCAATCATGGAGACAGTTTTATTCTTGATTATGGAAATGTTAGTATTGCGCTGTCAGAATGTATTTCGTTTTATACTTCGAAGCCAAATATAATAGTTTTTATTTGATGCACTTTTATAATAACACATTTATACACGAGGAACTTGAGTTCAATTAAATGCATATGTACAAACCGGGACTAGAGGGAATTCACAAAATGATTTTTAAAAACAAATCCATATTTTAAACATTCATTGTTTTCTTTATCAAATAATCAATAAGAGAAAATTCGAGACAATATATAAAGAAAAGGAGGAAAGTTCTATAAAAGACTTTAAACCAAAATTTTGATTTTCAAAATATTTTGAAATTCCTCACGTTTTTGTTTCGTCAGGACGTTTTCCAATGGAATGGAAAAGAATGCAATATGTTTGAAAAACTAAAAGCGGACAACGTTGCCAGAGCCATAATTAGCGACGAAAAGGGAGGAAAGGGAAAACATACGAAAGTCGAGCCAGAAGACAGAGTACCGGATATTATGCTGAAGGTAGAATATTCATTTAATGATTTATAATGAATAGGCTACTCAATCAAATGCCACAAACTGTAGCTACCAAAAATTCTCACCAAGACCAATCGACCAATGGGACCCGATATTTCACCCAAAATTTTGCTGTCCCATTTTAGGTTTCATTTTTTATAAAAAATGGGAGATCTTTTGAGAGGACATGGTGCTCATCTAATGCGACACCGTTATAGTGCTAAGATCTGGAGCCCGACCTGAAATGGCAATCATTACGTTCGGGTCAGGTCGGCAGGGCTGACTTTTTTTAAAATAAATATATGTTTATAAAAAATATATACTAAAACTATGTGTGGATACTAAACTAAGGAATACTTGTTATAAAATAAATGACAATTTAAAGAACTCCTAAATAAAATATGAAATTTCAGATTTGCTTCGGACTCAGGCCTGCAAATCCAGTTAATTAGTCGGGATTGGGCTGGGTCGGGTTTAATACCCACGGGTGAGTCAGGCGGGCTGGAATTTTTGGGCCCGATCTTACCTCTACAACGTTACGACCCAATCTAGTCTAGACTTTTGCGAGATTATTCAGTATAATTTCTCAATATATTTCCTAATTCCCGGTATTTGTATTTTCATAAGCTATACTGGAAAAATTCATCTGCAAATGTGGTGAATTTGTTTACCTTTTTTATAATTTTAATATAATTATAATAATATAATTTTACGCATTGTCGATTTACATCCTTACTTGACGTTCGCATTTTGAAAAAATAAATAAATATAAAACGGCTCGTCGTACTTTATAGCATACTAAACGACATCTTTCCTAGGTTTTGGAAGGATCCCCATCCGATATTCAACCGGCGACGTCAGATGATATCAAGGTTGAGGAGAAGAAGGTTCCCGCTTCTTTGTATCACGTGAGTTCGGATACGGGATCTCTTAAGGTCACAGAAGTTGGAAAAGCTCCGTTCCAACAAGGAGAGCTGAAGAGTGGGGATTGCTACATTCTTGACAACGGATCACATGGAAAGATTTTTGTGTGGAAAGGTGGGACAATATATACATTGATTGGGTTATATGTTTAGGGGGTTGTTTTTTTCTGTAATTAATAAACCAGTGGATTTCTAAACTTCGGTACCTAAAGAGAAAAGGGTCCTTTGACGGCTATCACTTTCACTTTTTTCAATGGACACCAAAATTTTGCTGTTTTTCAATTTAAAGGAAAACACTTTCTTTTCGTATTGCTTTTCAGTTAACTTAGTGCTTTCGTGACTTACCCTACCCGTAGCGATGTGTGACGGTTGGTCCTATATATTTGAGCATTGCTCTTATTGTTTTTTCTTTAGGCAAGGGGGCAAGCAAGGATGAACGTAGCGGTGCACTTAAGAACGCTACTGATTTTATCAAAGATAAAAACTATAAAGACTACACCAACATTGAGATGATGGGAGAAGGATCTGAAAGCATCATGTTCAAGCAATTCTTCAAATCATGGAGAAATAAAGGCGACACCATCGGATTTGGGGAGAAATACAGCGAAAACAAGATTGCCAAGATCCAGCAGGTTATTAAAAAAAAAGAATTATAAATAACGTGCAAATTTGCTCCATTTTGTCTAATATTTTTTAATCAAGTACTAAAGCTCAGTGCCCCTAAGGTGACTTCTTCGATATACATGAATCCCTATGTATATTACATGCATATGATCTCAAGTTGTTATCCATTTCGATATCAGAAATCATAATACCATTTTCAACTTTTTACAGATCAAATTTGACATGAAATCTCTGAGCAACTCCAAACTGGCGGCAAAGTACAGAATGGTCGATGACGGAACTGGAAAGGTGAGATATAAAAATGAAACAAAATTGCTTCAATTTTATATTACATAAAATATACCCAGTTCGTCTAATCGCGTATTTGATGTTTGGCTATATTGAAAATAATATCTATTTTTCTGGCGACTTATCAACCCAATAAAAATGTACGTGTATAATCAATATTGTATTCTATAATACATCGTTTTTAATACAACAAAAATGCTATAAAACCAATCTTCTAATCCCGATTTATAATAAGAAAAAACCTAAATAGCCCCCCATGCTCGTCGTAATACCCGGATTGTCCCCAAATATAATCTTAAACATACAGTATAAAATAAAAGCAGAACCCATGATCATATAGTTGTTATTCACTTGGAATCAATCAATTTATTCCGCTCATTATTCACTATTCAGTTGTCGTCTGATATTTATTTATGATAAAACTATTTCACAATAGCTCGAAATCTGGCGTGTGGAAGATTCTTTGAAGCCAGTTGACAAGTCCAAATATGGAATTTTCTTCTCGGGCGATTGTTACGTCATGTTATACACGTATAAAGTTGGGAGAAAAGAAGAATATATCATCTACTTCTGGCAGGGATCACATGCAACACAGGATGAGGTTTGTGCTTTATTAAGTGGTTCTTTTACATTCTACTTTTTATAACCACGCCTATTGATTAGACTAAATAGCTTTAACCCCCCTTTTTAAAGCTTAAGTAGTATATTTCAGCAAAGGAAAGAATGATAGCGGAATTGATGAAACCGCACTTGTTCAGGTGAACACAGACATTTCATTATTTTTTTCAATTTTTTACTTCTCTCTCTATAATTTTCAGAAAATCTTTTTCTTTTCTTCTCTTTTCAAAGTCATGGATGAAGGAGGCACGGCGGCAACAATATAACTGCAAATATAATGGTTGACTCGTTGGTCAATTCCCGCCTAAATGTCATGTTCACGGTCAGCGTGGCCCCGTTGTTGACTGAGGAGGCAACGGCTCAAATTACTCAATATCCCAACGTTACTTTTAGCTCATCGGTCATGCATAGAGTCACCAAACCTCCTAAGACCCAAATATTACTTTGTAAAACTCTCAGTTTTGAGAAATCTTCAATTCAGATTAAAAACCATTCCTCCAGACCCTTTTTTTATTGTTCAGATCGCAGCATCTGCTTTCTACGCCGTAGAGATGGACAAGAAATACGACGATCGTCCTGTTCAAGTACGCGTGGTTCAGGGTAAAGAACCTCCCCATCTACTTAGTTTATTTGGAGGAAAACCAATGATTATAGTGTCTGGTGGAAGAAGCAAAGGGAAGAATGATAGCGGAATTGATGAAACCGCCCTTGTTCAGGTGAACACAGACATTTCTTTATTATTTTCAATTTTTACTTCTCTCTCTATAATTTTCGCTATTTCCTATCTCGATATTGTTCAACGTCCAAGCCATGCATTGTGCCATTATTTATAGCATTATAAACCAACACTGATGATAAAAAAATTTATCTTATTGTCAGGTGTTCTGTACAGCTACAGGAGGACGTGCCATTCAAGTAGCTACATCCGCTCGTTCTCTCAATTCCAATGATGCTTTTGTGCTGAAAACTAAATCTGCCAGTTATGTATGGGTTGGACGAGGAGCATCAGATGACGAAATTGCTGCTGCAAAATACGTCTCAGGTAGTTGTCCATATTGTGAATAAATTCAAACAAAATCGTTTTGGTAAACTGTCGTTGTTGACGTTGCTGTTGTAAAATTATTCTCTTCTATATTTCCAAATTGCACCAATCGATTTCACATTTTGTTTGAAGTTTGAAGCGCCTCATAAAATTCTATCATTATTATACTATCTATTAAGTATTATTATCTATTGGTATTTCTTCATAACTGTTTTTCATAGGTACTTTTTCTGTTACCTATTTCTGACAATTGTAGTGAACGAACTCTTTATATATATACATTGTGCAAAAACAGATTTAAACAAACAACGATTCTTTTCTATGCTTTTAGACAAAATTGGTGGTTCAAATTCGCCTGTGATAATAAAAGAAGGATCTGAAGATTCCAACCTTTGGAAGATTCTCGGCGGAAAGCAGGAGTATGCTAGTCATCCTAGACTGCAAGAAGAATTAACCGATAATCCAGCAAGGCTGTTTGGAATCTCAAACGCTACGGGTAAATGGAATGAAAAGAATTATGACAAATATGCCATTCATAGCCATTCAAATCTCTACCGTGCCAATCATTTACTCACAGTGAAAGTTTGCATCTTGTCACAATTTTCAGTCTTGCCTCAGGAATGCTGCTACCGTAGTTTTAATTTGTATAAACAATAAATTGGTTGTATCCAGCGGCGTGCCTAGAGATGGGTCATAGAGGCAGCCGCCACATTCAGCACGTTGAAGGGGTGTGAGTTTGTTGCTTAGTTTAATAATTTGAAATTTTATATAATAGTAATACAAAATTCCACTCTTACTCTACCTTTGATTTATTCATTCTCATGTATATATAATGAAAATCTATAATTCTCATTATACACATTTATAATTTGTTTATCCCCCGAATTATTTTTATAGTTAGGTATAAGAAGCATCATCATCAGGAATTTGCCCCGGACAGCAGAACAGTTAGTCCCGCCCCTGGTCTATAGACTTCGTGCAGTCAATTTACTGCAGTCGTATTTTTGAACTTCATTCAGTCAACCTTCTTGTGAAGTTTGACCGTGATAATTTCTTTAGAATATTTCAGTGTCTATCGTGGTCATACTACCCAGTTTAATAATTTTTGTTAATGTAACAGGACGAGTCATTGTAGATGAAGTTCCAGGGGATTTCACACAGGCTGACTTATGTGAGGATGACGTCATGATGTTGGACGTTTGGGATCAAGTTTTTATTTGGATTGGAAAAGGCGCGAACGAACAAGAGAGAAAAGAAGCACCTAAGTATGACATCACAGTTTGTATAAAACAAGTCAATGGTTTGTAGTGAAAATTTTAGTTCAGTGTTGCTATTAATTGTTTTGTTGTTGCATTGCATGTCGTCCTGTCAGCTGCATTTAAAATAATATACAATGTCAACTTTAAAATGTTTACTTTCACTCCACTCCGTTGCTTCCATTTTTACATTGGCCAATAAATCACGATATTATGACGTTAACAAAGAGCTCAAGTAATAATTAACCACAATATCACGTTTACAAGATGTTAGATATTTTTTGAGATTATTACCATTGTTTCATAAAATATATGACCTTGACTTCATATAATAACTTGAAGGGCAACGTTGAGTTGGATCTCAGTAGAAAATAGCACGCAATGTTAAGATTTAAGTTTATTTCTTTGCGTGCCTACGAATGCTTAAGATTCATTTTGAACCATCTTAATATTATTATTATTTTTTTTATCATTTCACGCTTTGAATAATCGTTTTGAAGGCATTTTAACTAAGACTCAGCACAGCTCGTTACTTTGGAATTTCATATCACCCCTGTACTTAACAACATCGTCACGCACTCATGATTATAGGCTTGCTGTTGACTACATCAAATGCGATCCGCGTGGTCGCTCTCCTGACTGTCCAGTGATGACTGTAAAACAAGCTTCAGAGCCGGGAATTTTTACGGGATTCTTTCAAGGTTGGGATGCGGCTCTATATAAATAATTAGGGTGAGTATCTTCAGATGAACGTCATAATAAAAAAAAAATTTGCTCCATGCCTTATAATGTTTCTGAATTCAGGTAATTTAGAAACGTTGCACAAGCTTGCAACATTTAGAAAATTCCTATTGAATTTGAATAAATTCTATGAATTTATGCTTTCACCAATTTTCTGATTTTATCAATGTTAACTGCTTCATGTGTATTACTGGCTATGGTAGCTTGATCACTATTTTGTGGAGTTTATATGTATTGAGTATAAGGTTTAGATGATGCCATGAATTTAATTTGTATGTAGGTTAGTGTCCCTCAGATTTCATATCGCTAATGTTATATGATCTGTGGATTTGCATGAACTTCTTGATTACCTAGTTTTGATTGTGTTGTATAGAATCATTCAGAGTAATTGATTTTTGATGTTGTTTTGTTGAAAGAGAATAATGTTTTGTGTTTATTGCTGATCAATATCATAGAAATGGTTGATTTATATCTGATTGTTTTTCCGTCACTTTCTTCTCAACTAAATGACTTGAAATACAGTCAACATGATACTTCTTCTCATAGGATTTACAGCGAAATAACTCTCATGCAAAGAGGAAGATTAGATAATATACATTGATAATATGAAAATCGACATGACTTGACTCGATATTTCGACAGCTATAATACCTTTACCATAGAATCTGAATTTTCTTGCCCAATGAACGCATAGACTCGATTACTTACGTTTTACTGCCTTCTCTTTTCGATTACTTTCGCTGTACCGGGCACCATTCCAAAAAAGTGCACAATAGTTATTTTTTCCGCCAGTATTTATTCATTTGTCCAATGAGTTTTAATCCAGCTAGTGTTGTTTATAAAAAAGAATATAGTTGTTGAAATCGTGATAATTGCAGAGTTATTCTTAACTGACGTATTCTACTAAACCATCTCACACATTCATCGTGGATTATTCTATTCAACAATGGTTTCTTCTTGCTCATGGCACACAGAACCATGAAGCTTCAAGTTTTAACTCTTGCCAAAGAACAAAATCGATACAAAGAACTTATTTACGACTCAATATCGCTTGTAAATGAATTGGAAATAGTTCTAAACTTATATTACATCTGTAGAACACGTAGTCGTATGAATAAATTTCCTAAATTGTCACGCTAAGCAACTTATTTTCGATCTTTCAGATTGGCCGTGGACTACATTAAAAACGATTCACGAAAACGAGATCCCAGAATGTCAATTGTTACTATTACTCAAGGAAATGAACCATTGTTGTTTACCGGATTCCTCCCTTCGTGGGATCCGACTTTTAAATATGGAAAAACAGATTAATTTTACAGAAAATCAATATTAGCATTTCGCCAGAGTTTATAGACTGAAATATTTTACAATTTTATTGTTATTGTTATCCGGGACGTTCGTTTACGTAGTCTTTCTCATTGTTGAAGTTGAGAACTGTTCGTAATTAAATAGTTTACGCTTTATTATGTAATTTATTCAGTACTACCTTGTATTTCTAAATATAATTAGAGGTTTTATATTCTCAATCATTTTGTAAAAATCTCAATTAAATCAGGATTGATATTTGGGGTAATGCAGCAGGATTGCGGAAAATTGTTTTTAATTTTGTTACTATTGCTTCACGTGTTAAATAATTCCCATGACTTTTATATATTTACTGTTAATATGATGTTTCCTTCCCAATTTAAACAAAAAATTTCAATTTTTCTATTTTTAATGTGGAAAATTGCTTAAAATATTGGTAACATTTGGTTATGTAACTTTGATCATTTACTTCGGATTACTATTCTGATTATTTTGTATTTTGACAAACACTTAAGTCTCCCGACCCATTTAATACAATTGAGGATGGAATAATGATATCAATATGATCTTCTTTAGTTTTTGTTTTGTTTTAATTTCGTGAACGTACATTTTGATGGTAATTTTATTCGAAGAAATCAAATTATTTATCATAGTTGCTTACTGCGTGAATTATTTTTAAGAACGTTGTCGCATCATCTAAAATAGTTTTCCATGGTATACTCTCTATTAAATTCTCAAACAAAATATCCAATTCGTTCATATATTAGCGAGCTATTGCAAACTCTTTTGGCATTGGCTAAAATTGTAACTACGCTGAACAATCGACGTCAAAGCTTACACCAATACACAATCGCTGAATTACATTCACTTTTCGATCATAAACTAGGAAATGGGATATATTAATAAAAAGTATTTTAGAAATCCTATACAGGATTCTTTATAATTGATTTTTATCCGACGATTTTCGATGTATATTAGTCGTACCATTGTTGTAATATTGTGCACTATTAATTACTATCTTTATATTCTTATGTAACCAGTAACATAGATGATTATTTCAAAATTTTATCACAGCTTGCAGTTGTTTTGATCAATATATCTCAATATGAGGAATTCTAGTGTTTGGTACTATTGAATTTGCCAGGTGTAGATTCCGAACTCACTTCGAATTCATTTGGGGATCAGCAAGCCAAACCAATCCACACATGTTATAATTTAATATAAGCACATTACAACTGGAAAAGGCATGAAATCACATAAATATGACTACGGTATACTCCAAGGAAATATGATACTTTCAAATGCTGTTACAATAGCACATGAAGTATTTATCAACTTACCAATCAACTGGATATAGTTTAATGTCTCTATGTATTACCAAGAACATTCAATTATAGCCATATTTGATAGGCCTACTGAAAAAGTTGTTCATATAAAAGTGCGCATTATGGAAGTATAGGACGTTATATGGAAGTCAAATAGACGTCCATGGAGCAGACTATTCAAATAGAAGGGGGGAATGTTCATCGTTATTCCTAACTTTAGCAATGCACTGTTGTTATACCTCCTTGCCATAACAAACACCGAAAACACATTATCAAGCAGAAAACATTTGTTGCAAATTTTAAATGCTGATATTTCTGGCATTACACTGTCATACCAATGAATAGGAAGAAGTGAGGTACACTGATTTAAAAATAATGTATGATATAAACAGAAATGTGGTACGCACGAATCTACTGCTCATTGAAGATTGGAAAATTTCTTTCGCTGTTATGAAAAAACAATTACGAATATTATCGCACTTGCGAGTGTTAAATTCAACTAATTTGTCAAATGTTAGTTTGTACAATGAAAACGTATTTCCAATTATCTGAATTATATGGGCGATGAATAATAACCGTAATATGAAATGACTGAACTATTGCAGAAAGGAATAGTATTACTCGGAAAAAGAGGTTCAGTACAACTAAACATTGCAACTAACTATTTCATTCTTAATGACAGAATTGTTTCATTATATGTTGTCCATATATGTTTATTTTTGACATAAAACGCCTTGTCTCTTCCATATGGTCGGATGGTTGTACATATCACGACCTGACAAGTTCCAGGGTACCCTAGCGTGCATGCCAATATATACAAAATTTGCATTAGATTTTGGAAATCCAGGGTGCCACTGCAAGTAGGGTGCGGGACTTCCGTCAGATAATGTTGTTTCTTTGGTCTGATAATGAGGCAAATATTACATTAACATTTATAAAACCATTTTCTATATGCCGCTGTGATGCAGCAAGTGTTACTAATTGGTATACTGACCAACTAGTGAGTAAAAACTATGATCTCGAAGATGTAAACATATAAGTTATTATACCCCATTTATCTTGATAAAATAAGTAATTTATTAAATGAGAATTAATTAAGAAAGACTTTGTTTGTATTACAGGCTGCTTGGAAATTTGCATTTTGGAATGTAATTATTCTCTTTAATGTTCTATAATTACTATTAGCAAATGAAGCACGAAATCAACTGTGCTATTTATTGAGTAAAAAATGTCCTCCGGACATATTTTTTGGGGGTTTCTACAACGTTCGTATAATACTGTTGACCGGAGAAAGATAAGCACATAGAAGGCTTTATTCTAAAATTCTCAAATATAAAACAAAATACTTACTGAAAGATTGTACTTCAATCCAAGCCAGACATAGATCATGTCTTCATTTGCCCATATTTGTGTACGAAGGTATGATGTGATCATTTCATAATGTATTTTCGAATAAATATTAGCGGGATACCCTCCACGTCCTGAGCACAGTTGTTCACCTTCTTGATAATTGATCAGCTCTGTTCTTCTCTCGACCCAGAAGCAAAAGTTTTCAAATTTCACATGACAGATTCCTGTTTTGTAAGATTAAAATTACTTTCAGTTCATTTTATCAATTACGTAGCTTCTAGGGATCTTCTATAACCTAATGTAGCATATGGACTCCTGATTTATGCAACGCTACGACTATCACCGCCACAACTATAGTTACCTTGCTTTGTTTCCAGTTGCGTTATTTTTTGTTCAGCTCTTGAAAGTGATGTTGCAAGTTCATCCATCCTATTCGCCATTTCAGTCATTCTTTCGTTTTGTTGGTTTAGAACTAGATGTAAACACGATATTTGAATTCAATAACGAAAGGAGACAACACGACAAAAATACATATACTGTATTTAAAAATCGATCTTTATTCAAGAAAATTTGCAGCAAAGTCACAAGCACTCAAAAAGTTTATCTCTGTACCACGCTATACGAAAATGCCAAGTGGTGGAAATACATTTTTCTGCAGTTGAGCTGTAAGCTGGGCTAGCAAAGAAGTATGGATGAAGATTTCTCATGGGTATATGGATGAATTTTCCGAATAATCACCTTTATACCAGCATACCGTGCCAACACTTTTTCAAAATAAAAAAATCGTGACTGAAATACTCACTGAGTTTCATCTTTGCCTCCGTTATGTTCTCAACTTTACCATAATCTACAACACCAGGAATTCCTTGTTCTCCTCTACGTCCGGTTTCCCCAATTTCTCCCTTTGGGCCACGCTTTCCAGGTAACCCTTGTGTAACTTCTAAATCCTCGTGGTTGAGAGGAATCGTTTGATAACAAAGAGATCGGTAAAGATCTTCGGCTTGCTTACATAACGGAGTTCTGATGGCATCATGGGCGAAAGCAAATGAAATTAAACACAACATATAAATACCGTGGACAGGCATAATGGCAGACTATTATTTCACTATCTAAAGTAAAAATGAATAAATATTATAAACCTGGTTGATTTTTATCAAGATCTTCGAAAATAATAGATTTTATAATCTTGAACAAATATTACTTTCAGCCATTCGATTCTATATTATTTTTAAAATGAGTTGCGTTCTAATATATATTCCCTAACTAGACTTCCTTCTAACTTAGTCAGATATGCAGATGACGCTATTAATACTTTTGCCTCGATTTAACATGTGATATGACACAGCGTCTTGTCAAATCTCTGTAGATTGGCTTGTTGCATTGAAACTAAAGATAATAATAATATCCTATCATGTTCAAAGACATGCTGTAGCTGTTGCGCTTTTTGTCTTGTTGGTATCATCATAAAATATGTGCAGGTAGAAACATATTATTATACTTGGCGCAAACAAACAAACTTCAGTCAATGTCTGATAGTCTGTCAATGTCTGGTTAGTGTTAACATAGTGGACACAAATGCAGATCTAACCAGTAAAATTTAACTCCTCTCTTTATCAGTAATCTATTTATTGCTTCTAGGCAAATTATCACAAACTTACTGAAGAGTAGTGTTTTCATTTGTTTATACAGCCGCCTTAACGGCGTCCTATGCAAAAAAGTTCACGTTCGAATGCTGTCTCCAATAAATTGACCTGAGCGAAATAGAAAGAAGCTTCATCAATTGGAATACCACTTCACCATAAACGAAGCAATTGCTGACAAACAAGTATTATAAAGCCACAAAAAAACTAAAATAATATTTCCCTAGAAATTCTAGTTTCCGCGAATTCGATTTTGATAGCTTCCTCAATACGTCCTTAAATTTATTATTAATCGCAAATGCACATGTATTAAGTGAACAAAAAATGCATTTGTATTTTTCTGAAAATTTCAAGTACATTACCAAAATGGCAGGAAGCTACACCTTACCAATAAGTTTGACACTTTCAAAATATAGTGATAATAGCAACTTTACAAGATCAATCGACGCCATATTTATTTTAACATCACATAATCATGAACCTCTAGCCAAAAAAATCTGCATAAATTTTACTTTTATAAGCACGTAACTATTTATAAATATTGTAATTTAACTTTGCAAATTTGTATTATTCATCTTAATTTTTATATCGTATGCGAGATTAAATTTAACACGAGGTTTTGATTTGATAAATATTTAAATAGTCCAATATGTACCATATTATAATATGTACCAATATATACCAATCATAATAATGTTTGACGATACTTGTATCACCGTTGAGCCATGCACTTTTAAAATGTCTAACATAATTTGTAAAAAAATTACCCAGCATGATTCCATTTAATTGTATCTTTCAAACTGTTCTTACCTACAAAGTACATCTGGTTGAGTAACCAAGGATACGGTTGGGCCATTGTAAACAAAATTACATGTAATATTTACCTATTTGCTCCCGATTCGATTCGTCTGCCAGAAGAACGTGATAACTGTATTGACTGTACAGACCACAGAGTAATTAATTCAATAGTCGAAATATCTAGTCGGTGAGTTATTACAGAATAAAATATAGAATTCTCCAAGTTTTAGCAAATGTTAATTATTTCAATACAATCGAACACAAGATGTGCAAGTTATGGGATATGGTATTAAGGCGATGTGGTTATCGTGCGTGGTCGTTGCTTTCTCAATGTAATATAGAGCTGATGTTATATGAAATTTAGCGATAGAATCAAACAATAATTGTTTGTCCTCTTTTTTAAAACAGCTTATGCCGTGCATAATTTATTTGATAGATGTATGATGTTCGTGTGATATCTATATACATCAAGTAATCATGGGCTGCGGAACAAGTAAATCAATTCAAGCGGTTTCGCCTGATGAAAACATCGGCACCCAACCGATAGATCAGGTAAGCAGACTGTGCAAAACAAACTCTATTTTGATTTCGTCAGTATTTCTAAATTGAGAATCTAATTTGGCAGTGCTACTTGTTTGTGTATCATAAGTATTTAATTTGTGTGGATTATTCCATTTTCGTCAGGGACTAGGATATAGAAGTGTTAGTGTAGCCATCACAATTTCATTGCAACACTACGAATAAGAGAACACTATAGATTTATACCAGTTGGCCCAAATTCATAATTCTCTAGCAATATACAACCACTTTGCTACTGCATGTTTGAACTTCGCGCGGAAAAGTATCTCCACTTTTAAATATCTTTCTTGACGTTCTCAGCTATATTTTTCAATATGAGTTAGACTTAAACTTGTAGAAATGGAAGAGGCAATCCCTGCTATTTGTTTATTGTAAGCTAGTTTGAGATACTTTTTCTCAAAAATGCCCCCTCCCCCCTGTATAAGGCTTGTCTTAAATCCAAGGCTGGAACACTGCCAAAACGTAACATAATATTAATGTTTTCCAGAATATCACTGTACAAGATGAAATAGAGGGAAGGAAGGTCAGTCACATTTATACGAATAAAATTAATGTCTGAGTCTATCCATAACAATCAACTACGTAAATAAATAGAAAATAAGGTAATTCTTTAAACAATAAAACGAGAATATCGGTCAGAGACCGAAGACTCATCGATCTAAAGTCAGGGGATCCCCAAAACAGCGCTCTTACTCCATAGTGACACTTTGTGTCCCATCACTAATTAATTGATAACTCGCTAATTATACGACATAATTCGCCCAAAATCAATAGGCTTCTGGTACGAGATATGATGAATGCACATGCAAAATCTGCAGCAGATCCAATCTTGCTTTCGTGAGATATCGCGTGCATCTAACAGACAAACAAACAGACATACAGACAGACAAATACCTATCAACATACTTACCGATTAGTATCGATAAGTAATAAAAAATAACTCGAACACTTCTCATATTTAGAGGTTGACTTTAAAATGTTTATATTTTTAACTTCAAAGTAAGATGTCAAAAATGTTTGTTCTCGATATAAACGAACAAGTAAAAATACAGTTCTATACAGTACCTGATCAATCTAATGTTTGGTATTAAAATGTATTCGTAATGTATTCAACACCATCATGATATGATCGTATTAATAATTGTAAAAATTTCCTTAAACTTCACACCAACTCGATACTATGTAGTAATTTGTAGTTTATTCATTTTACACAGATTATATGGAGCATTGTTCAGCATTATCTGAATAGGGAAAAAATATGTCTCCACACTATTGAAGTTGATATAATATTGTATTCGAATTTTTTTTATTTAATTGTTGCAGCTCGCTGCTTAGATCATTCTAATGGTATTAAATGCATCTACTAACACACATGCGTAGTGGAATGCAAATTTAGTTATGCACTTATTGTAATGCAAACTATTAGAAATAAGTAGTCCTTTATATTGATTACTTTTCATAATATCAAACTCACAAAAACGAAAATTGATTTTTTTTTCAGCCAAATGAAATAGTCGACCAAACAGTGGTGAGTTTTACTCATAATTTTTACTCATAACTCATAATGTTTTGAAATATGATTTTGTAAAAATAAAATATTATATTTTTTTTTACAATTTTAGAAAAATAAATAAAGATATCAAATACGAACTTATTTACAGAAAATTCACCATCCAATTCACAATCACCTGGTACATGATGAAAATCAATAAAGGCAGAAATATTGTTGAATCTTTTGAACAAAACTACTTTTTATACTTTATTCAATAAATTAGATAATATATTTTTATATATTTTTATTGAAGATTTATAGACAAGCGTACATGCGGTGCAAATTAATGTAATGATTTATTGTTAATATGCAATTGTCCAATATTTACTTTTTTACTTTTCTTATTAACAAGCTGGGATTATTAAATTCTAATTTTCTAACTTCTTCAGCTAAGCTCAAATTCTTCTTGCTCATGCTTTTACATTTTTTGTGTTTTTTATCGACAATACCTTGTGATCTAATGTTTTTTAATGGGGGAATATTGATAAAAAAACGTTACTCGCGGCTTATAATATCACTAGTTATTATTTATAGCGATCCTTTTCATGCGATTATGTTGTATTGGTTATCTAAAATCAAATACTAATTATATACAATATATTTGTCTGAACTTTAGAGTTACACTAATGGTTATTTAGTTTAATACTTATACGTGGGTCTAAATTGTTTTTTTAAAAAGTCTACGGATCCTACATCACCCTAACTTGTCGTGACATGTTTTACCAACAAATGCAAATAAATGCGTAAAACAGAGATAGTAGAGGTTTACCCCAAGTTATTATCCCGTCGAACTATCATTATAACATTGGTGCTTAGTAAACCATTTGATCCCACAAAGCAAGCAGTTTGCAAGGTTTCCGTCATGTGTTATTGCCAAGGCTTACTGGTGCATTTAATTGGAAATAGACTACAAACACTAAGGGCAAGAAATATTTATGAGCCCACGTCGTGTTGGTCCCGATCACAAGAACTGGTGATGAAGCGTCGACGCAATTGTAAACAAAAATCGTCTCAACCTTGTTTACTTGTTTGCGCTCGGTTCACTGATTGAGCATGGGAATTGAGTAAAGTACAAATATACCTAACTAGTGTCAGAAAGATGTTTAATACATATTTATTTTCGGACACAAAATGTACTTATGGATCGTTTCGTTTTTCTGTTGTTGTCCTTGTTCTTATTCTTGTTAATATTCTTCTTCTTTTTATCGTTATGAAAAAAACGCGTTTCTCTTTAAAAACTGGACCCATTGCTTTGAAATTGTCGGTGATGTATTTCTGTGCATGGGCTCTTTGGGATACGTTCTTTTGTGATGGCTGGTAATGATTTGTGTAGTAATAATAAAACTCTAATTTTATTAAATGGATTTACCGGTTGTTGCTAATTACGATGGCAATCAGTTGGAAATAAAATATTCTATTGGAAATAAACAAATTATAGGTGATCTCACGTAAATTTGAACTTAACTTATTGGCTATTCTCTTCTTTTTTACTATTCAAATTTATCAACTTTGTATTATTCTGGTTACCTAAACTTGCGCTGAACTGGCTCAAGTATTTTCATTTTCTTGTGTATTCAAGTTACTTGCGTGCGTTAGATCAATATTGGATTGACACTTTCTTCTTTGTGATTGCACTGTCGTGTCGTAATATCATATAGGCCAGGATCACGCTCACGTAGTCTCAGACGTCATGAAGTGCTAACATACAAGTATGCAGTGGCTAAAGAGGTGCTAAAGGTCAAATAAGAACACGGGGTTGAATCTACATAACTAAAATATGCATTCAATGCCGATGAAAAAAACTCTCAGTTGAGCAACTCTCATATGATACGTTCATGAATGAAACAACATATAAATTGAAACGAAAGTCAAATCGGAGTAGTACGGGCATCTAATCTTTCACAGTACCGGTTCGGAAACCTGGTCATCAGCTGAACACCAGATCTCAGTAATAATACACAATACCCGCAATTCTCTTATTTTTTATGACGCCATCACACACAAAGATTCCCGAGAGCCCAGAGAAATTTTTGAAATGGATAAAAGTAATATCTTTCTAGCGACAAAAGAGTCGTCAACCACCGAAAATTTCAAAACAAATGTTCCACTAATAGAAGAAAAAGTGATTTTTTTTATAACAATAATAAGAATTCTAACAACTACAACCACATAATACTTAAACAATCTCCAGGCCCATTTCGTGTCCAATAATTTCTCATAGTCAAGTGGTAGTCTCTTGCAAGGGCTTTTACCATGTATAAAATTGCTTGATTATAGTTGCACAACAATTAATCGTGAATGAAAAAGAAGAGAACTGATAATATATATTGACGTATATTTTATTTATTGTTTAATGAACGTGGAAGAAATAATATATTTTTATTTACAAATTGTACCGGTAACAATCGAATGTCGGTTGCTAAAAGTAACTACAGCAAAGTGGTATCAGTTTTCGATATAGAGTACTGGACTAGATAAATTCAATAGTTCGATGTTGACCATAGGGTGTAAAAATGAAACCAATTCTCACCAAACATAACCAAATGAAAGTTTTGTAATATTAATCCAAATTAATTATTCGGTAATATGATAAAACAAATTGCAAATATTCATGGTATTGCAATATTTTGAGTGTTGAAAAGGTTAGTATTTGGCTGCCAGCTAATCATTTTTGATATGAACCCAATATCGGATGAAAACGTCAAGGTCATTAGAGAATCGAATGATTTAAAAAATTATTGTTCCTTTGAATTTCAACGGCTGAAATTTAAAATGAAAGTGTGTATGTATATATATATATATATTATGTAGTATTGGCCATATCAATAGGAAATATACTTATTATTTTATTAGGGAAATAATCGCTTTCTGATCGACAGACACCGATATCTATTACGTTAGTTGGGTTGAGCACAGAATGGCGTAGGTCTACGCACTGCAATCCCTACAAGATTCTTATTTATTTTGACTTCATAGCAAGCACTTGAAAATGCTGTGTTGGCTTATTGGATTTTTCGAGCAATAGTTGCTCTAAAGAGTTTTGCTGTAAACAAATTTTGGGTCCCAAGTAGGGAGAAATCCAGTGAAAGACAAAGGTTCATTTCCCTGTGTTATTGTGATAATAGATGTTCTTGCATCTCGTTTTCTCGGATCGGATTTAATATAATCTTCCGCAAGTCTAAAAAAAAATGAAATAAAAATTATTTGAAACAAACTGTCAAAATATAATTCCCACGTTCCCTGTACCGAGAATATTATTAGTTGGTATCTTGATCAATATATAACTTGCTACAAACATATCTACAACATTGTTATCTTCGAAATTGAACTGTTGACAGTTTGTTAGCATGCCTTTGGAGAAGATATATACTGACGCGATTAAACGTGAATAGCACTAAATTTCTACTAAAAAAGGTCAACTATTTCTTACTTTGGAGCCTCTTTTCTTTCTTGTGAATTTGCGCCATTTCCAATCCAAATAAAAATTTGATCCCAAACATCCAACATCATGACGTCATCTTCACATAAGTCAGCTTGTGTGAAATCACCTGGAACCTCATCAACGACCAGTCAACCTTTCAAATATAAACTTTAACTTTAGTGCTTTAACAAAATGTCCTTATTCAAAGTAGGTCAAGAGCCCTTAGTCATTAGCCGATATGGCATTTTGAACCGTACTAACCCAATAATCTAGTTTTAAACTCCATTAAATACCGCGATTGCTTTTAAAAAAGCTTTTAAATAGATATTGCTGAACTGTTTATGCACTAATCTGATGCATCTGATATTCCAAATATTCTTGGCGGATTCTCATTTAGATCCTCATGAAGCCTTGGGTGGTTAGCGTAAGTAAGTAGTATTTGACAGCTTGCTTTAATCAAAACTTCAGAAAATCTTTTTTTTCTTCCCTTTTCAGAGTCATGGTTGAAGGAGGCACTGCAGCATCAAAATAACTGCAAATATAAAGGTTGACTCGTTGGTCAATTTCCGCCAAATTGTCATAATCACGGTCAGCGTGGCCACGTTGTTGACTGAGGAGGCATCGGCTCAAACTACTCAATATCCCAACGTTACTTCTAGCTCACCGGTCATGCACAGAGTCATCAAACCTCTTGAGACCCAAATATCACTTTGTAAACCTCCAGTTTTGAGAAATCTTTAGTTTAGTTGAAAAACCATCCAGACACATTTATTGTTCAGATCGCAGCATCTGCTTTCTCCGCTGTCGAGATGGACAAGAAATACGACGATCGTCCTGTTCAAGTACGCGTGGTTCAGGGTGAAGACCTCCCCATCTACTTAGTTTATTTGGAGGAAAACCAATGATTATAGTGTCTGGTGGAAGGAGCAAAGGGAAGAATGATAGCGGAATTGATGAAACCGCACTTGTTCAGGCGAACACGAGATTTATTTATTATTTTCAATTTTTTACTTCTCCCTCTATAATTTTCGCTATTTCCTATCTCGATATTGTTCAACGTCCAAGCCAAGCATTGCGCCATTACATATAGTATTATGAACCAACACTGATTGATGATAAAAAAAAATCTATAAAATCTATATATAAAAGAGAATATAGTTGTTGAAATCGTGACAATTGCAGAGTTATTCTTAACTGACGTATTCTACTAAGCCATCTCACGCATTCATCGTGAATTCCTCTATTCAATTCCTCTATTCTTCTGAAGAAACATGAGTTGCTCATGGCACACAGAAGCATGATGCTTCAAGTTTTAACTTTTGGTCAAAGAACGAAATCGATACAAAGAACTTATTTACGACTCAATATCGCTTGTAAATGAATTGGAAATAATTCTAAACTTATATTACATCTGTAGAACACGTAGTCGTATGAATAAATTTCCTAAATTGTCACGCTAAGCAACTTATTTTCGATCTTTCAGATTGGCCGTGGACTACATTAAAAACGATTCGCGAAAACGAGATCCCAGAATGTCAATTGTTACTATTACTCAAGGAAATGAACCATTGTTGTTTACCGGATTCCTCCCTTCGTGGGATCCGACTTTTAAATATGGAAAAACAGATTAATTCTACAGAAAATCAATATTAGCATTTCGCCAGAGTTTATAGACTGAAATATTTTACAATTTTATTGTTATTGTTATCCGGGACGTTCGTTTACGTAGTCATTCTCATTGTTGAAGTTGAGAACTGTTCGTAATTAAATAGTTTACGCTTTATTATGTAATTTATTCAGTACTACCTTGTATTTCTAAATATAATTAGAGGTTTTATATTCTCAATCATTTTGTAAAAATCTCAATTAAATCAGGATTGATATTTGGGGTAATGCAGCAGGATTGCGGAAAATTGTTTTTAATTTTGTTACTATTGCTTCACGTGTTAAATAATTCCCATGACTTTTATATATTTACTGTTAATATGATGTTTCCTTCCCAATTTAAACAAAAAATTTCAATTTTTCTATTTTTAATGTGGAAAATTGCTCAAAATATTGGTAACATTTGGTTATGTAACTTTGATCATTTACTTCGGATTGCTATTCTGATTATTTTGTATTTTGACAAACATTTAAGTCTCCCGACCCATTTAATACAATTGAGGATGGAATAATGATATCAATATGATCTTCTTTAGTTTTTGTTTTGTTTTAATTTCGTGAACGTACTATTACAATTTGATGGTAATTTTATTCGAAGAAATCAAATTATTTATCATAGTTGCTTACTGCGTGAATTATTTTTAAGAACGTTGTCGCATCATCTAAAATAGTTTTCCATGGTATACTCTCTATTAAATTCTCAAACAAAATATCCAATTCGTTCATATATTAGCGAGCTATTGCAAACCTCTTTTGGCATTGGCTAAAATTGTAACTACGCTGAACAATCGACGTCAAAGCTTACACCAATACACAATCGCTGAATTACATTCACTTTTCGATCATAAACTAGGAAATGGGAATATTAATAAATAGTATTTTAGAAATCCTATACAGGATTCTTTATAATTGATTTTTATCCGACGATTTTCGATGTATATTAGTCGTACTATTGTTGTAATATTGTGCACTATTAATTACTATCTTTATATTCTTATGTAACCAGTGACATGGATGAATATTTCAAAATTTTATCACAGCTTGCAGTTGTTTTGATCAATATAACTCAATATGAGAAATTCTAATGTTTGGTACTATTGAATTTGCCAGGTGTAGATTCCGAACTCTCACTTCGAATTCATTTGATGATCAGCAAGTCAAACCAATCCACACATGTTATAATTTAATATAAGCACATTACAAATGGAAAATGCATGAAATCACATAAATATGACTACGGTATACTCCAAGGAAATATGAGACTTTCAAATGCTGTTACAGTAGCACATGAAGTATTTATCGACTTACCAATCAACTGGATATAGTTTAATGGGTGCTCCCGAAGTATGCGAACCAAGATGGCGGACATCGGAACGTAACATGGGTAACAGGTTAGGGTTAGGCGATAATGTTTTTCCAATTTTCCTTATTTTAGTCCTATTATCAGTTCGAAGATTAGCCAAGAGCCTCCCGTAGTATTTATACCTAAAATTATGGCCTAACTCTAACCTAGTACACATATTACATTCCGATGTCCGCCATCTTGGTTCGCATACTTCGGGAGCCTCTATGTATTACCAAGAACATTCAATTAGAGCTATATTTGATAGGCCTACTGAAAAAGTTGTTCATATAAAAGTGTGCATTATGGAAGTAATGGACGTTATATGGGAGCCAAATAGACGTCCATGGAACAGACTATTAAAATAGAAGGGGTGATATGTTGATCGTTATTCCTAATCTTACCATCATCATAACCTATATATATATCACAAATACCAAACACACATCAACAACCAGAATATGATGTTGCAAATTTTAAATGCAGATATTTCTGGTATCACACTGACATACCAATGAATAGAAAGAAGTGAAAAAACACTGACTTGAGAATGATATATAACATGAACGCATTACAACGCACGTATCTATTGCTTATTGAAGGTTGAAAAATTTTTTTCGCTGTTGTGAAAAAACAATTTCGACAATTTTTCACTTGTAAGAATCAATTGTAAAGTTTGTACAATAAAAAACGCATTTTAAATTGTCTGATTTATACGGGCGATGTATCATAACCGTAATATGGTAGGGATTAACTATTGCAGAACGGAAAAATATTACTCGGAGAAAGTACATCATTTCAACTAACTATTCTATTTTTAACGACAGAATGAAGAGAGTTTAATCAATTGTTTTATTATATGTTGTCCATATATGTTTACTTTTGACATAAAACGCCTTGTCTCTTCGCTATAGTCGGATGGTTGTACATATCGCGACCTAACAAGTTCCAGGGTACCCTAACGTGCATGCCAATATATACATTATTTGCATAAGGTTTTGGAAATCCAGGGTGCCACTGCAAGTAGGGTGCGGGACTTCCGTCAGATAATGTTGTTTCTTTGGTCTGATAATGAGGCAATTATTATATTAACATTTATTAAACCATTTTATATATGCCGCTGTAATGCAATATACACCAAGTGTTACTAATCGGTGTGTATACTGATCAACTAGTGAGTAAAAAGTAGGATCTCAAAAATATAAATATATAAGTTCAGTTATATTAACCCATTTATCCTGATAAAATAAGTAATTTAAAAAATGAGAATTAATTTAAAAAGCCTTTGTTCTTATTACGAGCTGCTTGAATATTTGCATTTTGAAATGTAATTATTCTCTTTAATTTTCTATAAATACTATTAGCAAATGAAGCACAAAATCAACTGTGCTAATTATTGAGTAAATAATGTCCTCCGGACACATTTTTTGGGGGTTTCTACAACGTTCGTATAATACTGTTGACCGGAGGAAGTTAAGCACATAGAAGGCTTTATTCTAAAATTCTCAAATATAAAACAAAATACTCACTGAAATATTGTACTTCAATCCAAGCCAGACATAGATTATGTCCTCATTTGCCCATATTTGTGTACGAAGGTATGATGTGATCATTTCATAATGCATTTTTGAATAAATATTAGCGGGATACCCTCCACGTCCTGAGCACAGTTGTTCACCTTCTTGATAATTGATCAGCTCTGTTCTTCTCTCGACCCAGAAGCAAAAGTTTTCAAATTTCATATGACAGATTCCTGTTTTGTGAGATTAAAATTACTTTCATTTTATCAATTACGTAGCTTCTAGGGATCTTCTATAACCTAATGTAGCATATGGACTCCTGATTTATGCAACGCTACGACTATCACCGCCACAACTATAGTTACCTTGCTTTGTTTCCAGTTGCGTTATTTTTTGTTCAGCTCTTGAAAGTGATGTTGCAAGTTTATCCATCCTGTTCACCATTTCAGTCATTCTTTCGTTTTGTTGGTTTAGAACTAGATGTAAACACGATATTCGAATTTAATAACGAAAGGAGATAACACGACAAAAATACATATACTGTATTTAAAAATCTATCTTTATTCAAGAAAATTTGCAGCAAAGTCACAAGCACTCCAAAAGCAGTAATACTTACTAAGTTTCACCTTTGCCTCCGTTATGTTCTCAACTTTACCATAATCTACAACACCAGGAATTCCTTGTTCTCCTCTACGTCCGGTTTCCCCAATTTCTCCCTTCGGGCCACGCTTTCCAGGTAACCCTTGTGTAACTTCTAAATCCTCGTGGTTGAGAGGAATCGTTTGATAACAAAGAGATCGGTAAAGATCTTCGGCTTGCTTACATAACGGAGTTCTGATGGCATCATGGGCGAAAGCAAATGATATTAAACACAACAAATAAATACCGTGGACAGGCATAATGGCAGACTAATATTTCACTATCTAAAGTAAAAATAAATAAATATTATAAACCTGGTTGATTTTCATCAAGATCATCGAAAATAATATATTTTATACCCTTGAACAAATATTACAGTACTTTCAGCCATTCAATTCTACATTATTTTTGAAATGAGTTGCGTTCTAATATATATCGTCACGCCAATAACCGAATTGCGTAGGCCTAAGTCATTTTTAGCAGTTTTGAGAAAAACGTAAAAAACTTCCTAATGATATTGCTATGCCATTGAGAGTCAATAATTTGCCATAGTTCAATTTTTTATCGTAGCCGGATTTAAGTTAATTTGTATGGCGCAGTCATGTGACGTCATAATGGCGCACTGTGACTTAGGCAGAAATGTGGTTATGACTTGGGGACATACGCAATTTTGCAACTTGACTATATGCACAGTCCTGAAAACCAAACAACCCAAAAACGAATGTAATTCTCAGTATCTACGATGTCTAATCCCCAAAATCCCCACCGAAATAAGACTAAGATTGAATATAGAGAATAAAACAGCAATGTACCCTTATATACTATAGTAGCCAACCAATGTGAATTGGACTCAGACAGTGAATATCACACGTGCACGCCTTCCTATACTGCAGTATAAATTCAAATTAATAATCGCTAAGCTAGAATCTGAGATGCAAATACTCGAAAATCCTTCGACGAGGTTATTTTGCCTTTGTGACGTCACAATAGTCCAGTGGTAACATTGATAATTCATTATGACGAAACAATTAAACAAATTTGCATGTCATACAAAATCTTCATTTTTATGGGTTTAGGAATTCTTAGAATAAAATCTGAGTTAACAGACAGGTGCGCAGCATTACATAAATACCTATTTTATAAAAAACTCAAAATCGCCAAAAATAACTTACGCAATTCGGTTATTAGCCTGACGATATTCACTAACTAGCCTTCCTTCTAACTTAGTCAGATATGCAGATGACGCTACTTAATACTTTTGCCTTGATTTAACATGTAATATGACGCGGCGTCTTGTCAAATCTCTGTAAATTGGCTTGTTGCATTAAAACTAAAGATAATAATAACCTATCATGTTCGAAGACATGCTGTAGCTGTTGCGCTTTTGTCTTGTTGGTATCATCATAAAATATATATGTGAAGGGAGCAACATATTATTATACTTGTCGCAAACAAACAAACTTCAATCAATGTCTGATAGTGTTGGTTAGTGTAAACATAGTGGACACAAATGCAGATCTAACCTGTAAAGTTCAACTCCCCTCTTTATCAGTAATCTGATTTATTGCTTCTAGGCAAATTATCACAAACTTACTGAAGAGTTGTCTTTTCATTTGTTTGTACAGCCGCCTTAACGGCGCCCTATGCAAAAAAGTTCACGTTCGAATGCTGTCTGCGATAAATTAACCTGAGCGAAATAAAAAGAAGTTTCACCAATTGGAATACCACTTCATCATAAACGAAGCAATTGCTGACAAACAAGTATTTTTTAGCCACAAAAAAACTAAAATAATATTTCGCTAGAAATTCTAGTTCCCGCGAATTCGATTTTAATAGCTTCCTCAATACGTCCTGAAATTTATTATTAGTCGCAAATGCACATGTATTAAGTGAACAAAAAATGCATTTGTAATTTTCTGAAAATTTCGAGTACATTACCAAAATGAAAGCTACACCTAATCAATAAGCTTGACACTTTCAAAATATAGTGATAATAGCAACTTTACAAGATCAATCGACGCCATATTTATTTTAACATCACATAATCATGAACCTCTAGCCAAGATAAGTCTGTATAAATTTTACTTTTATAAGCACGTAACTATTTATAAATTTTGTAATTTAACTTTGTAAATTTGTAATTTATTCATCTTAATTTTATATCGTATTCGGGATTAAATTTTACATGAGTTTTTGATTTAATAAATAATGAATTAGTCCAATATGTACCATATTGTAATATGTGCCAATATATACCAATCATAATAATGTTTGACGATACTTGTATCACCGTTGTTGAGCCATGCACTTTTAAAATGTCTAACATAATTTGTAATAAAATTATCCAGCATGATTCCATTTGATTGTTCCTCTTCAAACTGCTCTCACTTATAAAGTACATCTTGTAGAGTAATCAAGGACACGGTTGGGCCATTGTAAACAAAATCACATGTAATATTTACCTATTTGCTCCCGATTCGATTCGTCTGACAGAAGAACGTGACAACTGTATTGACTGTACAGACGACATAGTAATTAATTCAATAGTCGAAATATCTAGTCGGTTGTCCTTTCTGAGTTATTACAGAATAAAATATCGAATTCTCTAAGTTTTAGCAAATGTTGAATAATTCATTACAATCGAAAACAAGATGTGCAAGTTATGGGATATGGTAATAAGGCGATGTGGCTATCGTGTGTGGTCGTTGCTTTCTCAATATAGAGCTGATGTTATACGTAATTTAGCGATAGAATCAAACAATAATTGTTTGTCCTCTTTTTTAAAACAGCTTATGCTGTGCATAATTTATTTGATAGATGTATGATGTTCGTGTGATATCTATATACATCAAGTAATCATGGGCTGCGGAACAAGTAAATCAATTCAAGCGGTTTCGCCTGATGAGAACATCGGCACCCAACCGTTAGATCAGGTAAGCGAACTGTGGAAAACAAACTCTATTTTGATTTCGTCAGTATTTCTGAATTGAGAATCTAATTTGGCAGTGCTACTTGTTTGTGTATCATAAGTATTTAATTTGTGTGGATTATTCCATTTTCGTCACGGACTAGGATATAGAAGTGTTAGTGTAGCCATCACAAGTTCACTGCAACACTACGAATAAGAGAACACTATAGAGTTAGACCAGTTGGCCCTTAATTCATAAACCTCCAGCAATATACAACCACTTCGCTACTGCATGTTTGAACTCGGCAAGATATTTCGTGCGGAAAAGTATCTCCACTTGACTCTCAGCAAGAGTTGAGAATACGCTCAATTTAGTTTTCCTTAGTTAAAATTTTCACGTTAAAGTCGCAATCCAGCCATTTTTTGTCAAATCTTGAATACTGTATTATAAAACTACATAATCTCAAGCGAGACATTGTGCTGTTAGTTAAAACTGCACGACAGAAGAAGCAACTTAATTTGTTCATATATTGACTAGATTTAAATTTTGAGTTGCATATTATATTGTTGGTAATACACAGCGCCGTTGTAATACTGTACACCGCATTAATCACCTCGACGAGTATACTCACTCGCTGGGGGGTATTCTCCGAGATTCGATTTACAGTAAATTGCTGTCAAGAATTGAAAATTGCAACTGCTAGTGCTTGTCACTTGTTGAAATGAAAAGGCAATCCCTGCTATTTATTTATTGTAAGCTGGTTTGAGATACTTTTATAATACAGGTATAATTTTTTTTAAGTCAAAACATAATCAAATTAACATTAAGAAATTTTCACAAAAAGGCCCCACTCCCCCCTGTATAATGCTTGTCTTAAATCCAAGGCTGGAACACTGCCAAAACGTTAACATTTGATAATGTTTTCCAGAATATCCCTGTACAAGATGAAACAGAGGGAAGGAAGGTCAGTCACATTTATACGAATAAAATTAATGTCTGAGTCTATACAAAACATTAACTAAGTAAATTAATTAATAGAAAATAAGGCAATTCTTCATAAAATAAAAGAAATAGCTCGAACACTTCTCATATATTGTGGTTGACTTTTAAATGTTTATATTTTTAACTTCAAAGTGAGCTGTCAAAAATGTTTGTTTTCGATATAAACGAACAAGTAAAAATACAGTTCTATACAGTACTTGATCAATCTACTGTTTGGTATTAAAAATGTATTCGTAATGTATTCAACACCATTATGATATGATCGTATTAATAATTGTCAAAATTTCCTTAAACTTCACACCAACTCGATACTATGTAGTAATTTGTAGTTTATTCATTTTACACAGATTATAAGGAGCATTGTTTAGCATTATCTGAATAGGGAAAAAATATGTCTCCACACTATTGAAGTTGATATAATATTGTATTCAAATTTTGTTTATTTAATTGTTGCTGCTCGCCGCTTAGATCATTCTAATGGTATCTTAAATGCATCTACTAACACACATGCGTAGTGGAATGCGAATTTAGTTATGCACTTATTGTAATGCAATCTATTAGAAATAAATAGTCCTTTATATTGATTACTTTTCATAGTATTAAACTCAAAAAAACGAAAATTGAATTTTATTTTTCAGCTAAATGAGATAGTCGAGCAAACAGTGGTGAGTTTTACTCATAATTATTTTTACTCATAACTCATAATGTTTTGAAATATGATTTTGTAAAAATAAAATATTATATTATTTTTTTCACAATTTTAGAAAAATAAATAAAGATATCCAATACGAACTTATTTACAGGAAATACTCCATCAAACTCACAATACCGTGGTACATGATGAAAATCAATAAAGGCAGAATTATTGTTGAATCTCATGAACAAAACTACCTTTTATACTTTATTCAATAAATTAGATAATATATTTTTATAAAAGATTTATAGACAAGCGTACATGTGGTGCAAATTAATGTAACAATTTATATGAGAAATAAATATTTTATGATATATATTGTCATTCTGCAATTGTCCAATATTTACTTTAGTTTAGTTGGAAATAGACTATAAACACTAGTGGCAAGAAATATTTATGAGGACACGTCGTGTTGGTCCCAATCACAAGAACTGGTAATGAAGCGTCGACGCAATTCTAAACAAAATTCGACTCAACCTTGTTTACTTGTTTGCACACAGGTCACTGATTGAGCATGGGAACTAGTGTCCAATTATATCAGAAATATGTTTAATACGTATTTATTATTGAACACAAAATGTACTTATGGATCGTTTCGTTATTATGTTGTTGTCCTTGTTCTTATTCTTGTTGATATTCTTCGTTTTATCGTTTTAAAAAAAAATCGCGTTTCTTTTTAAAAACTGGACTAATTGCTTTGCAATTGCATTTTTCACTAGAAGTTTATTATTTTTAATTATTTCAAAAATTTCTGTGGGCTCTATGGCAGTGTTCTTCAACCGGGTATACGATATACCCAAGTATATATCGAACCATAAGTTGGGTATACAACTGATAAAGAGCATACGAAGGGTGTATAGAGTAAGTCAGGGACTCCAAACTCTAATATAATAAATTATAAAATATTCAAGCGAAGACAACAACGCAAACGCGGCGCACATGGAATATAAAATGTCATTTATGCAAAGAACCGACGTGAGCACATTGTTACATTACAAATTATATACATATTGCGGTCACGTGGTGGGTTGGTGATTTGGGCTGCCATGCACTTTGTTTAATTTACGTTGAACATTATCCCCGTTGACGCTAAGACCGTCAGTCAAACTTATAACTTGCGGACACTAGCCTATTAGATTGCACAATGATATTGCAGTACAATATGTGCCTAAATTGAATGTTTATTTAGGCCTTAAATAAAGATTGGTATTTGTAAGGTATACAAAATTCTTGAAAAATTGTAAAAGGTATACCACGATGAAAAAGGTTGAAAAACACTTCTATGGGATTCGTTCTTTTGTGTGTTATGACGTCATCAAAATCTAAAATGACGCACCTAGTGGCGGTTGCGCGTTCGCGTAATTCGTGAGGATTGCGGTAGCGGTAGTGTACTGTGACAAATTGTATTCTTGTATTACTTAGTTTTATCTTTCGTGTCCATATATTTGGGTATCGCTTTTTTCATTCTGTATTACGATTATATCGGGAATGTTGAAAATCAGTTTCCAATATAGTGAATACAGTATAACGATGGCTGGTAATGATCTGTGTTGTATTATCAAAATTCTAATTTTATCAAATGAATTTACCGGTTGTTGCTAATTACGATGGCAATAGAAATGAAATATTGTATTGGAAATAAATAAATGATAGGTGATCTCACCTAAATTTGAACTCAACTTATTGGCCTTTCTTTTCTTTTCTTGTTTTGCTATTCAAATTTATCCATAGGAATATCAACTTTGTATTTTTGTGGTTACATAAACTTACGCTGAACTGGCTCAAGTAGTTTCATTTCCTGGTGTATTCACGTTACTCGCGCGCGTTAAATCAATATTGGATTGACACTTTCTTCTTTGTGATTGTACTGTCGTGTCGTATCATCATATAGGTCAGGATCACGTAGTCTCAGACGTCATAAAGTGCCAACATACAAGTATGCAGTGGCTAAAGAGGTGCTAAAGGTCAAATAAGAACACGGGGTTGAATCTACATAACTAAAATATGCATTCAATGCCGATGAAAAAAACCTTCAGTTGAGTAACTCTCATATGATACGTTCATGAATGAAACAACATATAAATGGAAACGAAAGTCAAATCGGAATAGTACGGGCATCTAATCTTTCACAGTACCGGTACGGAAACCTGGTCTTCAGCTGAACACCAGATCTCAGTAATAATACACGATACCCGCAATTCTCTTATTTTTTATGACGCCATCACACACAAAGATTTCCGAGAGCCCACAGAAATTTTTGAAATGGATAAAAGTAATATCTTTCTAGCGACAAAAGAGTCGTCAACCACCGAAAATTTCAAAACAAATGTTCCACTAATAGAAGAAAAAGTGATTTTTTTTTATAACATTAATAAGAATTCTAACAACTACAATCACATAATACTGAAACAATCTCCAGGCCCATTTCGTGTCCAATAATTCCTCATAGTCAAGTGGTAGTCTCTTACAAGGGCTTTTACCATGTATAAAATTGCTTGATTATAGTTGCACAACAATTGATCGTGAATAAAAAAGAAGAGAACTGATAATATATATCGACGTACATTTTATTTATTGTTTAATAAACGTGGAAGAAATATTATATTTTTATTTACAAATTGTACCGGTACCAATCAAATGTCGGTTGCTAAAAGTAACTATAGCAAAGTGGTATCAGTTTTCGATATAGAGTACTGGATTAGATAAATTCAATAGTTCGATGCTGACCATAGGGTGTAAAAATGAAACCAATTCTCACCAAACGTAACCAAAATGCAAGTTTTGTAATATTAATCCAAATTAATTGTTTGGTAATATTACAAAAACAAATTGCAAATATTCATGGTATTGCAATATTTTGAGTGTTGAAAAGGCCTAATATTTGGCTGCCAGCTAATCATTTTTGATATGAACCCAATATCGGATGAAAACGTCAAGGTCATTAGAGAATCGAATAATTTAAAAATTTATTGTTCTTTTGAATTCCAACGGCTGAAATTTAAAATGAAAGTGTGTATGTATATATATATATTATGTAGTATTGGCCATATCAATAGGAAATATACTTATTATTCTATAAAGGAAATAATCGCTTTCAGATCGACAGACACCGATATCTATTACGTTAGTTGGGTTGAGCGCAGAATGGCGTAGGTCTCGCACTGCAATCCCTATAAGATTCTTATTTATTTTGACTTCATAGCAAGCACTTGAAAATGCTGTGTTGGCTTATTGGATTTTTCGAGCAATAGTTGCTCTAAAGAGTTTTGCTATAAACAAATTTTGGGTCCCAAGTAGGGAGAAATCCAGTGAAAGACAAAGGTTCATTTCCCTGTGTTATTGTGATAATAGATGTTCTTGCATCTCGTTTTCTCGGATCGGATTTAATATAATCTTCCGCAAGTCTAAAAAAAATGAAATAAAAATTATATGAAACAAACTGTCAAAATATAATTCCCACGTTCCCTGTACCGAGAATATTATTAGTTGGTATCTTAATCAATATATAACTTGCTGCAAACATATCTACAACATTTTTATTTTCGAAATTGAACTGTTGACAGTTTGTTAGCATGCCTTTGGAGAAGATATATACATGATGCGATTAAACGTGAATAGCACTAAATTTCAACTAAAAAATATCAACTATTTCTTACTTTGGAGCCTCTTTTCTTTCTTGTGAATTTGCACCATTTCCAATCCAAATAAAAATTTGATCCCAAACATCCAACATCATGACGTCATCTTCACATAAGTCAGCTTGTGTGAAATCACCTGGAACCTCATCAACGACCAGTCGACCTTTCAAATATAAACTTTAATGATAAAGTGCTTTAACAAAATTTCCTTATTGAAAGTAGGTCAAGAGCCCTTATTCATTAGCCGATATGGCATTTTGAACCGTTCTAACCCAATAATCTAGTTTTATACTTCATTAAATACCGCGATTGCTTTTAAAAAAAGCTTTTAAATACATATTGCTGAACTGTGTATGCACTAACCTGATGCATCTGATATTCCAAATAATCTTGGTGGATTCTCATTTAGATCCTCATGAAGCCTTGGATGGTTAGCGTATTCTTGTTTTCCACCAAGCCAATACCAAAAACCGGGACTTTCTTTGCCTTCTTTGCGAACTACTGGTGTATGAATGCACAGTTTATCTGAAAAGAGTTTAATATTTAAACAATCCATATAAATGTTTTATGTTAAAATTGAAAAAATAAAATATGTATTTTGTTTCACGAGAAAAATTTGAATCGCAATAAAGCCACACGATAATGAATGTGAAATGCTCACCTAGTAGAATGCCCAAAAAACTGAATGGTCAGGAAGAGAGACAAACAGTTTCTACTATTTTCTTTAAAACGGATAGAAATAGCTCGAAGTCCGTATTAAATAAAAACTCATATGAAAAATGGATCTGGATCTTAAGCGTTGCTTTATTTTTATTTAATTAATTTACTTTCCTAAATCGAATCTTACCTGCAACAAATTTCGCACCATCAATTTCATCATTAGAGGCACCCAATCCAACCCAAATATAGCAAGAAGATCTTGTTTTTAATACGAACGCATCGTTTGAATTTAGAGAACCAGCAGAAGTTGATACTTGGATAGCACGCCCTCCAGTGGCGGTGCAAAATATCTGAAAAACATTTCAGAGGACTAGATTTGAATATATTATTATTTTTATTCAATTTTACTTTTGGAAACGATAATATAGGAGTAGAAAATTAATTTCAATATTCCGATTGAATCAAAATATTTTTCTCACGGGGATAAGAAAAGATTTTACTCTGGAAAATTATAGCTCGCTGCAGTAGTTAAAATTTATAAAATCTTAAACGAAAAACGATTTTGATACATATAACATTTGTGTCCAAGAACTAAAGACACAATTTATTTAAATTCACAGCAGGATATTATTTTATAAGTGGTTTCAAGAATTGTTGTACCTGTAAGAATGCCACGTCGTCAATTCCTGATATAAAGTTTGATATCTTTTCGTTTCCCGATACAATGATCATAGGCTTTCCTCCAAATAGGCTTAGTAGATGCGGAGGTTCTTTACCTTGAATCACTCGAACCTGGACGGGTCTATCGCGATATTTTCGACAAAGCTCAACAGCTAGAAATGACGATACTGTGACCTGATGAATGCAAAATAAAAATTCGACTGTTAATTTATCCATTTCACTACGCAAGTTTCCGGGATTCAGATAAATAGATTTCATTTATTATTTTGTCTTCAGACTCTACAATTACCGGTAGATCGAAGTGGCAATAAGGAAAGTACAGTTAATACGTCATTATTGCGCTCAACCAAGCGTTACAATCTAGATTCTAGAACACTCAGCGCTTGCTTGTCTAAGTCTCGGAGCCCTCGTGTTTCTTGCTACCTTTCTCTTCCAACATACTATGAGTATATTGTATGTTCAGAAACGAGGATAACAGACGATAGTTGAAATATACTTTAATAACTAAATGACTGTGTAGTTCATTCGCCCAACAACTATACTGAACACTTATCGTACTACACATATATATTTTAACACACCTTCTGGATGGGCGCCTGCCTTCCCTGCCAGAAATAAATAATATATTCTTCTCTTCTAGACGGTTTGTATGTGTACAACATTATGTAGCAATGGTTGTCATAGAATACTCCATACATTGACGGATCTACAGATTGAAAACCATCTTCGACACGCCAGATTTCAAGCTGTAAAAGTAGCCCAAAATGAATTGTTTTGTTCGGATATCATATTGAATAATCTCACCGAAAATATGTAGATAAGGTTGCAAGATTTTGTCGTAACAAATTGGTACACAATTTTACCATGCATATTTGGAATCTGTACACCAGCGCACCCTCACCCCTCGGATTAACAAAAACAGCACGGGCTTATCAAACATTGAGAGTGAAAATTAGGAATGCAATATCACGCGATTTGGGGAGCCTTCTAAAATCGGTTTTTTATTCAGAAGATTTGATGAATATATACATATATAGTGGACTTTATAATATGAAAAGAAGGCAAATCATGTTTTTACTATTAAGGCAACAATGATTGGAAAACTCCCTAATACTAGAAAAAAATGTAATTTGATTTGGGCATGTAATATTGGTTTTACCTTTCCGGAGCCGTCATCAACCATTCTATACTTTGCCGCTAACTTTGAGTCATTCAATGATTTCATGTCAAACTTGATCTGTAAAATACGTGTTATAGAACAACTTAATAGTTTTACTCCCATTCTAACTAAAACAGCGTGTTGACAGACTAGCATTGATAACTGTCACATTCCAATGTACACACAGTCTTATGCAACACGTACATATAAACCCGATTACTTTTGTTCACATTTGAACTGAAATACGTAACTGATTCATAAAAACCAACGTTAAAAATAGTAGAAAATGGCATAATTATGTCAAGTCTAATGATAATCGCGAATCTTTTTTCATACTCATCACACGCGTTATTCTATTATTTTACAAATGTTTCGTCCGAGGTTTGAATATGAAATCGGGTATTCCAATATGGATGATATATATCAGTGGTTCCCAACAGCCGGTCCGCGTGAAGTTTCGTTGTTTTTATGCCGTCTCTTTCGCGACATCTTGGCGCCGAGTAATCACACTTTTTGCTTTTTCGGCTCGGATTCATCGCGAATGTGCTCCATCAAATCTCGCAAGATTCAGAAACCTAAAAATCGGCACGCGTGATTTTTCTGTGTTGTGTGCTTTTCCTGATTAATATGACCATCCATATAAAACGTTAAGCATATTTCTTTGTTCAAACCAGAAAACACTCAAGAACAGTATATTATTCCAGTAAGATATAAACTTGCCCTGCAGGTGGTCACGAGACGCGCAAAAAAACGGAGCCGCAGAAATCTTTTCCAGTATTTTGAGCGGGCACAGAAGGATTTTGAGCCTGGTGCCCAGTTACCGACGACTTTGTCATTGTAATTCAAATTCATTTCGTTTGAGGCGTCGATCAACTGCAGAGGGATTAATATGATAAACCCGATGATAACAAAAAAGCTTGAATAAAATTGTAATTCTACTTTACAGTCTAGATTTAAAAAAAGAATCACAGTCCAAATTTTGAATATCCCTTGCTAACGAAAACTCATCGCTAAGTAATCGGGCAATCAAATTGTTGTTCGTATTTTCAACCAGTTACTTATGCGTTATGCGAAAAACATTTTCATCACTAGCTTTAATTAAAACGAAGCAAAGAAATCATCTGCACGCCGCTGCAGAGCTGCATGTTGCAGAAACTTCTTTGAAGCCTCGTTTCTCTTCTGAGCTTATTATTTGGCAATGGATCTTTCTGATGAATTCGCTGTGTGCTATATTAAATTTTTATATTACAGTGTACATCTTTTATGTTGAAATTTGTCGATTTTGGATTTCCTAATTTTCCTAAAGCCGTTATCTCCGACGCTTCAGAATGCAAATGAAGTGAAAAATGATTTAATACGAAAACATCACAGTACCTGTTCTATTTTTGCAATCTTGTTGGCAGCGTAAATTTTTCCGAAACCGACAGTTTCATCTTTATTTCTCCAAGACGAAAAAAATTGCTTGAACAAAATTGTTTCAGCTCCTTCCGCCATTATTTCAATCCCAGTACTTTCGGTATAATTTTTTCTCTCGATGAATTTGTTGGCATATTCCAAAGCTCCGAGTCGCTCCTCTCTACTTGCTCCTTTGCCTAATATTAACATATAAGTAAATGCAACTTCCATGTCGTTTTAAATCTTTTTTTCGAAATTTTCGATTCGAAGTTGTTTTATTTTATTTTTTTATCGTTGACTAATGTTTGCAGGTTAGAATATGACAATGGACAATTTTAATACGAGAATTCTGTTGGAGTCATCAGTACTAGAGCTATTTGTTTAAAAGTGTTTGCGACTCTAATCCAGACCAGGGAACTGGACAAGAAACCGATTAGAAGCTGAACACTATACAGCGTTGTAACAACTGACGTTTTTGGAGGTTCGTCGTATACAAAGTGTGTGCTTGGTGACGCAAATACCCTGTCACCTGATTTGACGTCATGAGTTGCTTATTAGTGACCCCATAATATTAGAATGCCAATATTAACTTTTTTCGATGAATCGTACCGAATTCGTACTCACAATTACGTATTACCGCAAAATACATGTGGGTGCAAATGTCTGTGGGTGCAAATTTACGTTGGTGCAAATGTACGTGAGTACAAATGCCCATTGGTGCAACCTGTATGTGGGTGCTAAAATCTGCGGGTGCAATTGTTCAAGGGTGCAAATGTCAGTGGGTGCAAAAGTATGTAGGTGCGATTGTTCTGGATGCAAATGTACGTGGGTGCAAAGATGGAACCCAATCATATATTTATAGGAAGACATGTTTAAAATTAAAACAATGTTAAGCGCACATTGAGGTGACATCGGTGTATGGCTTCATTAAAACCGGATTTTTTTCACTAGTTCCGAATTGGTAAGTCATTCACCTTTCCAAACAAAAATTTTTCCTTGAGATCCATTGTCCAAAATGTAAGAATCGCCACTGTCCAGCTGGTCTTGTTCAAGTGGTGCATATCCTATTTCGGTAATTATGAGTTTTCCTGTATCGGCACACACATGATAAAGAACAGCTGGCGATGTGTCCGTTGATAGTACAACGTCATCGGGTACTGAAGGTAGGATGTCGCCTGGTGTACCCAGAAGAGCCTGTATATGGAGACACAACTCATACTAGAAGGATGTAAAATTGTCTTTTCTCAAGAAAATTCTCAATGTTGTTTACTAAATTCCTAATTCTGATTATATTTACGAAAGTTTAAACCAACCTGTAACATATTTGTTGGTATTCTTTCTCCGTCTTCTATTTTAATAAGTTTGCCTTTGCCACCTTTTTCGTAGCTGATTATTGCGCGTGCTACGTTGTTAGCTTTCAGTTTCTCAAAATGGTTGCATTCTTTGCCGTTCCATTGATAAACATTCTGAAAAGCAGGTTAAAATGAGAATTCAAATGACATTAGTTTCATTTGTCTTCGTGAAAACAACCAAACTTATAGTGATTGTTTGGTTTCTTTTGTTTCGCAACTGACATATACAATGTTATCAAATCACTATATCAATGAACACACACAATTACCTATGCTATTTTTATGATATTGGTATGTGGTATGTTATTACTACCATAGGACTCTTCTAATTAATTCCGGAGCAAAATCATTAAAATACTTCTGAGATTCTAAGTCTCACGAATTGCTACAAATTATTAGGAAGAGAGATTGATATGACAGACCACATTTTTTAACAAATTCTACGATAGATAATATTTAATGTCAGTTTTTGCAAAAATGATAATATAAATACCAGATTAACTATTTTCTGCATTTGTATACTAACGGAATAACTCCGTGCACTAATTTTAATGATTCTATAGCCATACAGAAATATGCAACCGAAGGTTACAGTATTGCATAAAATTTACAGTTCCAGACCGTTTAAACAGCAAACAGAAATATTTTTGAATTTACTTCAACGTGGTCCGCGTCATACAGACTTTTTGAGCTACCGTATTTTACAGATCATAAGACGCATTTTAGATCATTTTTCTCTCTCAAAAATTGACCCTGTTCCTTATAAGCCGGTGCGGCTAATGTATAGATCAGGCAGTGCTTCATGATTTATTGCCCACACTCTAAACCAGTAAATAAATCACTTTAAATTCGTCGCGTCTTATATTCCGATGCGCCTTATGTATAAATAAAAAACAATCTAAGCAATTCATTTAGTCTTAAATACGGTGCGCCTCGTGGTCCGTAAAATACGATATTTGAAACAAGTAATGTAATATACCGGTAACTCACATTTTCATAATCGAGAATAAAACTGTCTCCGTGATTGAAGCTTGACCATTTCATCGGAACTTCTGTCGCGCGAACTGATCTTCTACCTTTGACATGAAGAAGTCGTTTCGATTCACTGACGTTTGTTTTTACCTGCTTGAATCCAGATTCAACTCCACCTTGCTGAAATGAGACGAATACAATGTTCCAATGTTATTCAAGTCAGTTGTATAGATTTTATCAAAACATGTGCTCATCTTTTTCACCCAAAAGTGCCATTTTTACATTCGGTATGTGTATTCGATAAGTGTGTATTATCGATAGGGTGAAAATAAACTACTGATTACTGATTGGTTTTAAACTGTTTGACAGGCCTGTAGCGGTTTATGGTGAAACCTATTAATATTTTACTTATCATCAGTGGCTACTGTTTTTAAAACTTTCCAGAACAGAGGTGTTAGCGAACCAAAGAGGTGAAGTATGTTATTCGTATATTATTCATTGTTTATCAATGATGTACTAAACGAAATCATTAATTGTTAAATTTCTCTTCTTTATAACGAAATCGTTTTATGTCAACTTCTGATCAAAGCGTAGTCTACTTAGAATTAGATGGTTGTTATTGCGGATAGGTGATTAGTCTTCATTTTAAGCCCATCACGTTGATCAGCTCAAAACTACTATCTTAACTAGTGAATACAAGATTAGGTTCTTTTTCGAATGGCTTTGTTTTAAACAATTGGTAAGTTAATCGGATAATTTCAATTGTTGTGCACGTTTTTTTTAAATTTCCTTCAGTACTTCTGCATTCTGATCAACTGACAATGTGTGATATTATATTTTGACTATATCCAAGCAGAGTATATATTAAATACAAAATATAGTAGTGCGTCAATTTCTGTTGTCTCGCGGAAGATTTTGTAGGAAACATACCCGAAGAACAAAAATTGTAACTATATTAATCGTTTAAATCTTAAAAAAATAAACAGCTAGCGATAAAGCTTGATTGATGACATGTTAGCGGCATGCTGTAATTTTCTTAATTCCATGCGTATAAAATATATTATCCCAAAATTATTTTGTACTTAGTCGAGATATGTAATTGCAATAGTTCGAATATTGTCTCTAAAAAACCTGTACCGAGCTGCTTTTGATGTACAAATGACTATTATTTTTTTCATTCAATTTTTATATGTATGGATTTTCAGGTTTATATATAAAATTCCTGTAACACAAAGATGAATTAACTGCTACAATTTATACGGTCTGAAATTATATTTAGGCCAGTATCATCCTGTCAAATCAATCAATTAAAGTATTACAAACTGTATAAATTGGCATAACAATCCAAGTTAATCTGATTTATCCGTGAACATAAATAAAGTATGATCTGAAAAGGTTTCAGCCATTTCAAACATCACTGTTTCATACCAAGGTGAGCTGGTTTGTACAGAATCATTTCGGCAGCGAAGTCATCGGCGAAGTATGTTCACCTTATAAATATCAATTAGTTCCTTATTATAAATCTTAACTGATTTCAAGCTGAATTTTTAAACTGATTTCTTTATTTTGTAGAGAAAGCATGGCCTCGATATGTTTTATGGCAATGCGATCAAATAAAGATCACAGATATTATGCGACAGCATAAAAATGAATGAGGTGAAACGTACATAACTGTCTATAAAGATAAGAAAACCATCAACTGAAGTATTATAGTTAGACTGTCAATGCATATTAGACTCCACTTCACAATAGTTCAAACATCAAATCTGTAACAAATGTTGCTAAATTTTTACAAACCATGTACTTTACACCAGTATTAAACATCGCCATGAACTCTGAACTTTCATATCCTTGTAATTGTCTATATTGCACTGGATCTCCTCCCATATATTCGTCCATTTGACACGTTAATATGGCTGCTGCTCCTCGTTCATCCTGGCTTGATTCGGATCCTAACCAGAAATGCAGATCCCATCGCAGTTTCCCGTTTCTGGCTGCAACAAAAACATTAGTTAATTATAAGTTATCGGAACAGATTTATGCAAAATAATCTATTTAAAATACTCTTTATTTTGCTTCAAAATAGTCAGCCAGTTTGTATAAAAATACCAGACTTTTGGAGAAGTCGTGGAGAAGTTCCAATTTTGAAGGATGTGTCCGCGAAACGAGCTTTTAGTTTAATTAATCTGGAACGTGCGAGAAATTTCAATCTCCTCGCGTTGCGAAGCCTATACCAGTACCCGAGTGCCACTGTCATATCAGCGAAACTAGCTAAAAAGTTCCTTTTGGAAAATATACAATGTTATAAAAACGTGTTTTTTTTTATTACTGAAATCGTTTAAAGTCGGTGTGACAATAAATTTAAATAGCAGGTTTTCTTTAGAAATTTTTGCGTTTTACCTCAACATTTCTGTCAGGACTCCGAACAATGCCATAAGATCAATAATAAAATTGAACAATTTTTTGTGCTTTAGTAGAAACTCTACCTACGAAAGGTTCTGGATACGAAAAATCCAAGTTACGAGAATTCTCAACGTAAAAATATTGCTTTGACTAACGTATAAGATTTTCTACATACGAAAGGACGAAAATCGGAAACAAAAAATGCGTGTAGTGATATATGTTTATTTTGGGATTATTTAACTCAGTGCTTGAAGCACGGATGTTATTCTTTCATTTCGATAGTGACCGAACTTTTTATTTCATTGTTTGCAATTTAGAGCGTATAAAATAGCTCTTAAATATTATTTACTATCTATGGCGGCGTCGTTGATGACAATATCGTTCAGTTTAAGTTGACGGTATTAATTTATAATCAAATTTTAATCAGCCGCGACTCGCAAAATAAAAGAAGATTTTCGGTCTTAATTGGCAGATGGGAATTTGGAAATCAGGTTCACTCGTTTGTGAATGACGATGATCGCGTAATTACATTTGCGTTTTTCTAAATCAACGAATGGTGTCGTATGCAATATAAAAATTAAAGTCCGTGGTATCTGCCCTACCACACGCCAATCAACTATCTGCCATCCCATTGGTCCGTTCGTTGTGGGGGCTTGGAACGGATTAATGCATTTTCAGGTAAAGAGCATCCGTACTTACAACATTTTATACTTACGATGGGGTTTGGAACAAATTAATTTCGTTGCAATTGCGGAAACCTTTTCGCAAGTAAGAAATTCTTCAAGGTACACATGGTAAGGAGAGAGTACAGAAAAATGCCGGAAAAAACTACAAATTTTTTGTATCTAGAGACATTCGTAGTTAGAGTTTCTAAGTCTGGCCCGCGGCTTCACCCAGTTACTAGTATTTGCCTGCGTAAAAGGTTGCACGCCCCTCGTCTAACCAATCAATTCCGGAGAAAAAGTGGATTGACACGCCGGGTTCGTGCCTCGTACACTAGTAGTAATGAAGTTTCTCATTGACTGTGTTTTGTCGCCTGGAATAAAGTCAGTGCTTGCTAGGCGAGCGTATGATAATGTATGAGAAAATTATAATTATTAATAGAATGTCTGGGTGGCCAAAATTGTCCCTCATCGGAATTACTATCGTATTCTGTTTCATATTTTAACGTTATCACAATGTTAACAATATAATGTGGCTACTAAATTAAACACAATTTTGCAATAGCGCAATTCCATTACTATTAATTTCAGCTCTTGATTTCGAGAAACATCATGGCCTGTGGCCTAGTAAAGTGAAAATTGTTTTTGTTGTGAAAAAGATCGTGTTGTTGAACTGCGCTTCTTTCAGCGAGTAGTAAAGGTCACCTAAAAAGTAACTCTACTTCTATATAGATATGTGGACGACACGTATTAAACTTGATTTTTGAGATCAAATTTTACGGTTATGTTTACTTGTTGGAGTGATACGTGATTTTACGTGTCGTTAACTCCCGGATCACGACGCGTTTATGACAGGTTCAGATTTTAGTGAATTGAGCGAACTCCATTAAAAACGTTACTAAGTGATAATTTTTTTTATATTGTGTTGACCATTTGAAATATAGCCAGAATCACGTTCACGGGGATACGCCTGGAATATAAATTACAAACTACTCTTATAAATATCAATCAACAGGATGACATTGTTCACGAATGATATGTTGTAAACTAAATGTTCTCTTCTTTATTTATGTCAAAACAGTTTGATCAACTTCAAATTAGCGATTTAATGATCACATTTCTAATCTTTTTTACTTTACAATGAGTTAAATGATAAAATCATACAATACATTGAAATCGGTTATTATTCAATCAAAATACGCCCATTTCCAAAGTCTGATATTACATACATAAATCCTCAATCACTTACTTTTGATCGTCTTCAGCAAAAGGTATGAATCTCCAACATAAAAATTTCCATGAATTGCTTCGGAGTTTTCCACCAACTTAAAGTTTTCAACTCTCCATATTTGTAAACCTTCCTTTTTACCAGCAGTTTCAAATACTGCAGTCATATTGTCAATTCTTTTACAGCAAGCGCAAATAAAATCCCTTGTAGATTAATTGTATATTTTATTACTATTCATTAATTCGTAAACGCAAGTCACTACATATAAATAGGTACTATTTAAAATAGGAAAAAAATGTTGTTTCACAAACCAAAATGAATATATAAGTGTTCCTCATATTGATATGCACTTGCCTGCACACGATAATACTGTATAATAATAACTCTCGCTCTTATGCATTATTACGCTGTGCAAAAATTCATAAAATTTATTCTTTTTTCTGTGTAAATATGACGAATCATTCGATGAGATTAGAAGCTATGATGATACTGTCTATTATATATCTACACACAATCAAAACGGATCGTTTCAAAGAGCCATAAACGAAGTGATCTCTTTATATTGTGGGTAATTTACCACAAGTTTAGCTCGATAATTTCAAGCAAATTGAAAAATTGCGTATTCTCTTTAATTTGTAGCTTTGATGTAAATTATCGCTGTATGACGATAGTCAAGCAGAACAAATATATTGTAGACGTCAGTTTATGACATCGATTAGATATTACATATAAATATATATACAAAACTATGTACACGCGATACTTTCTATCAAATCTCTTATCATTTACAATTCTAAGATGGAAATATCTCTATTGTGGTTTTATATCTTTCTTCGTCTAATTATGATTGGCATGCGAGTACATTGCCTTTTGCCTGTACTTCGTTAAAATAACAATACTGACGACCCGAGTGTCCTCAAAAAATTTCAACTTTGAAATGATGTCTTGAGAGGTGATATTTTCTTTCGTGCCTTTTTCACAAACATTTCTCATATTTTTCCATTTTCATCACCTGACATTTGATAAAATCAAATAAAAACATAAATTCCGTGCAAATTTGGAGTAATTGAGAGCGGAATAGTTGTTCCACTTGATAGATTTATTACTGTACCATAAATGTAGCGTGATACCACAAGTCGTTTTATATATGGGCAACGCATGGCGTAGCATGGTCTATGGATGTGACCGTGATTCATGGATTTGATTGAGAAGGTGCATGGTTAGTGTCATAGGAACATATCTGCAGTAAAAATACAGGTTTACGATACTACGAATTGAAACACTTTTACGATCTTTAGCTGACAACGACAATGCTTCATTTAAATTTTGATGATTGATTTATAACAATCTTGGACAAAGGTTACACAATTTAATCTCCAAAACTACGCTATTTTCTCCGATTCAATAAAAATAACATTTCTTAGAATATTTTATTGCCCATTCAATGCCAAATTGCCTACATTAACAAACTTTGAAGCCACGTTTATAATCTGATTTTTTTTCAAATCGTGAATAATTATTGAGGGTAACATGAATATTAGAGTTTTGCTTTTGCTAAAGATTTGATGCATCTTTCAATATGATCCAAGTTTTACGATATTTTTATATTATCTAAAATAGCCCCACAAAAATTGAGACAAAAACTATGATTTATTATTTACCTTTTATTGCATCTTGACAATGCGTACCTTCTCGTGCAACAATTGAAATAAATCCGGCAATTACGCCCGCTGGCCCAAACTTGAAGCGTAATTAAAATATTGTTTACAAATATCTGTCGTTTATCTTCTGTTTCTTCGGATTACCACATCGTGGCACTTGACCGGTACGTTGTAGGTTAATAGACTTGAGCTGTATACACGAAAACAAGCAGAAAAAAGTTTTGAACCTGATTGCGTTGATTCTGTTAAACTGATGTGCACTCGGGTTCAAAGTAAACTGAAAAATAGACGACATTGGAATTGCTTTAAAGCAAAAAGAAATTTATCCACAACAGGATGCGGGATGTTATTATGGAATTATTATGGAATATTATGAAAGCACGTAAACAAAACCACGATCAAAGTTTGAAAACGCAACTTGAAACATGATTTGGCAAATAAAATCCAAGTTATAAAAAAATTAACTAAAACCAGATTTTTTTCACGATATTTACTTCAATTTTATGTCTCATAATTTTTTATGACTAGGATTATTTTTCACATAACCCATTTAGATATTGTTCAAGAACGTTTATCAAAAGATTTCTATTCTGTGAATTAATAATTTATTTAAATTTTCATTCGCAATAAAATTTACTTTCTGTTCAGTCAAGTTTATTATGATTTATTAACGTTATGTTATGTTTGATTGTTTGTGGTTATTTCAATCAGGATATAGAAATTCAGTAATACAAAAAGCAATATAGCTTATAAAATCAGGACTTGAGAAAATAAATTTTAATGATATTTTCAGATCGATAAAGTATAAAATACAACATAAAAATTTGAGGATTTGTTAGGTTCAAATCGCAGGTTCGAATCCCGCGGGGGTAATTATGTGCCAAAGGGGTTGCTGGACTCTTCGCTACCGTATGGTGGTTCATGCAAACGCTGGTCGGTCACGGCTTCCTCCACCATCAAGTCTATGCATCTACAACAAATACCTGGCTAACTAATCCCATGCCCGACATGGACTGGTACCGAACGAGAGACCGTGTTTCTCCATATGATGAAGCCGTCTTATCGACTTTCCCTTACTTGTGATAAATATGTAAATCTTATCCCGAAGCTATTCTACATCACTGATAAAATGTTTACTTATGCACGCCCAATTATACAACTTGACGCGTGTTCCTAACCGCCTGTCAAGTCACCAAGTCCTTCTTGAATATTTCCTGAAGTGGGGCGCATTAAGATGCTTGACTTCAAATATAGTGTCTGTTTGTATTTACCTAATGCATGGGCGGTGAACCATCTTTGTATTTGCATTTCTTTCTGTTTCCCCACTGAATGATAAAATATCACAGACATTCGACATCATTATATTATATTTTTGACATGCCTTTAACCACATATTTTTGTTATAATTATATCAAGATTGCTACTAATCAAAAATAGCGTTTTCATAGAGAAAAGTGTATTCTAGATTCATATGTATGTATATCAGCTGTTAGTATATTGCATTGATATGCGACTGTGATGCCAGATTTAAGCATATTACTTAACATTATATAATAATGAAAGTCATCTTATGATATATTTTGAATTTTTCATTGGTTAAATCAATGAGCATGTGTGAAAGCTTGTTGTTTTGGAACAACTGTTTTTGTTGCGAGCAGAGTCTTAGTTTTAATCTGTATATAGAAAATTAACCATCTAATATATTTAGAGGTAGATTAATATTCGACGTTATATTGAAGAGAAGAGCCATCAGACCACATGGTTGCGGAGGAATTCCCCACTATAGCTGCATTGCTTGAAGCGGAAGAGGCAAGAAGTTTGACAAATTTTGAAGGTGACCTTGGCTAGCCACATGGTACGGTAGATTGACCGTACTGTAAATATTTGATATTACAGTTGCTATTTTTACTCCCGTTGTGACTAGACGCATATTCAGCATTGTTGCAGGACCTGGGAAAGCTTGGGCAATTCAGACACTGGCTTCGTTCAGGATATTATTTTTGGGGAAACTGTGGGTAAACTATTTCATTTTTGTTTCGTGTCTATTTATTTGAGCGTTGCTCTCTTATTTAGTTATGAAAATTAGCTCAGCTGCATTCTGCCATCTTGCGGATGCCCAAAGCTTGTAAATTTTCAGATTTACTTTATACTTTACAGTTGTGACACTTATTTGAATAGGCTTTTGTAAACAATTCTTGCTTAAATATATTTAATCTAGTGCCTTTTTTAATATTTTTTTATTGAAGATATTTACGGGTAACAGTTGATTTCAGTCAATTAACTGTTATCTCACTTTTGGCTCGCAGAGTGTAACTGGAATATGATCTATAAAACAGGGCTGGAGGGCAAAAAAGATCGTAGCTTAACATTCGAAAAGTAAATAAAATTCTCAAAACACCTGGTTCACTCACCGAGTTACGCATCTTAGTACAGGTACGTCGTTAAAGATAAGCCTGTCTTGAAACTTTCAAGCTACTATTTATAATGGTTGATCCTTGTACATGTTTAAACTAACTGCAACTCTGATCGGGTACTATACCGCAGATACTTGCGTGGGATAAAATATATATTTGTGTAGAGGTGATGCACACAATTATGAAGAATAGGTAGTGAATAAATTAAAAGAAAAAACTATGAAGACAGCAAATACTACAAATCCGAAAAGTATCGGTATTGTTGTGAAAGACAGTTTCACATATAGCAATTATGAATAAATTATCACATGATTATACATAAAACTTGAATTAATTTTTATGTTCTGTTTTGAATTGATAAAATTTAGAATCGAGTGCTGTATGAGACAACAGACGACACCCTCTAGATTAGAATTGAAAATTTCAAAACAGCATTTGGATAATATGAGTGTGAATATGTAAATGATATTCTTACTACAGTATTTGGTATTCTTCAAAATGAGAGTGGACTTTTCGGAGCCATAACTTGATATTTATCGAAATCAAGAACTACAAAAAAACACAGCTCACGTTGCTATAATACATCACTTTTTTGGGACAGTAATAAACTGATTTTTATTGTAACAGAGATGGTGGAACAAGTTTCATCCAACATGGATGATTATAATGAACGTTGGACGTAACAGTGATATACAGCATAAAAAATAAAATTTAAAACATTGCAATAATATCTGCCTGGCAAAAATTTCCTTTACAAATATGGCTCATAATTCGCATTTTATAGAACGTAAAATTGACATGGAGACACCTGAAAAAGCGAATCAAATTCACAAATATCATCAACACGGGACTCGATCATCTCACAAATTCAGATATTGTTTAGCGCTTTGCAGTTTATATGTAATTATTGTAGTTTAAAACTATCCTGCTAATTTCCGAATGAAAAAATCGGATTGAATGTGTTTGAATAGTCAACATAAAACAATGTAGCATCGATAGATGTTGTATACATGCAACTACTAGATTTTAGCAAAAATAAAAGTGTTCGTTCATAAGATAGAACTTGCCTAGATCCAAGGACAAACATAAAAATCGTAATCTAGGATTTAATATGCACTGTTCCAATTTTGAAATAAACTCACTTAGTCTACGGAGTTAAAATTTTCATGTGGTACAAATTGGGTTGTATAATAATACTGTTGCTGGTGAGGCAAGAACCCGTTCCCATGTCGATCATCAAACAACCCCGTGGGGGCATAAATCATAGCGTTGGGCCCGTTTATGTTCCCGTTGTGCAACGGTTTATCACCATACTGTATATCAGAATGACCCAACAATTTTGTTGGCTGTAACGTCGGAGCTAATTCGTGGAACCCGTACACTGCGTTGCCATTTATTGAAGATGATGCAACTGACTGTATTACAGATGCTTGATTAGATGTCATACCCAGTGTACAATTGTTGTTAGAATCGGTCCCATTATACGACCAAGCAGTGTGAACATTGGAGTCCACTGTATCTGATCTGTTGAGTAAAATTAAAAATTTAAATATAAAAAAGTTATTGAAAGTTTGGATTGAAAAATGTCCTATATATTCATGGTAATATTTCTGAAGGAAATCATATAGATATACCACCATATTCAATATTTTAGAACATCATCACAGTTTTTTTTTCATTGTATCGAAAATGCATACTGTTATTTAGCAGTTGAAAATACGTTACTTTCATTTTAGTTTGCAAAATATCTTTCAATCTAAATTTATCATCACAATTCTTGACATAGTTGATTGAGATAAAATGTCAACTGAAGTCTGACGAAAATGATAAAAACATCACTTACCGCTGAGATACTGAAGACTCTTCCGACGATATGTTCGGAATGTCTCCGTTCAAAGATTCTACAGCAGAAGTATTGTTATCTGCTAGCCATGCTGTATAATTGAAACAAATAAATTGTAAACAAATACCTATATATACATGGCCTGTATGACAAAGACAAAAAAAAAATTATACGGTTATGACTTAAATATTTGGTGGTATGTATCTTAATGTCAAAGAAACCTATAAATGTAAATATTGCTTATCAAGTTTATACAAGACTAATTTGTTGCGTCGTTTATGTTATTTTTAAGCGAAAAAAATTTGACAGAAAACACAACCAATTGACTATCAATTTTTTTAGAATTTGTTTCCTTAAATCATTAGTTGATGCTCAAACAAGAGATGCGAATTGAATTTTTAGAGTTGGAAGGTTGTCGGAGGCCGCATCACTGATCTATGGACACGAAAGCCAAGACGAAGCAGTAGGCTACAGGTATGAAATATGTCACAGTAGACTACCGGTACCACAGTCTTCACGACTTCAACAGAGCGATCGCGGAACCTCCACAAGGTGCGCTTAACATTGATATTCTCTCTTCTGATAATACAAACATTTTTGAAACAAGAGAGCTATGCTCAAATATATGAACACGTAGCGCCACCCAATGGCAATATTTTTGATGACGTCATGGCGAAAAAAAAAGTAATAGCCTTCTGGAGAAAAATTTTTATTTTTAACCACTGAAAATTTCAATGCAATTGGTACAGTATTCGAAAAGAAAAGCAATTTTTTAAAAATGATGAAGACAAATAATACCGATAACAACATAATATTGAAACGATCGTTATGTCCACTACGTGTCCAATAAATGTAGCCTAAGTAATAGCCTCCCAGTGAAAAATGCAATTTTTACCCACTGAAAATTTCTAAGTGATTGGTCTCGTAGTTAATGAGAAAATCGATTTCACAAGAAGGAAAAGAAGAAAAGAATGACTAAAAAGAACAAGAGAGCTATGCTCAAATATATGGACACGTAGCGCCACCCAATAAGAATAATTTTGATGACGTCATAGCAACAAAAAAAAGTAATAGCCTTCTGGAGAAAAATTTTATCTTTAACCACTGAAAATTTCAAAGCAATTGGACCAGTATTCGATGAGAAAAGCGATTTTTTAATGATAATGACGAAAGAAAATAACAATAACAACAAAATTTTGAAACGATCGTTATGGCCACTATACGTGTCCAAAAACTATCCATATGTATACTTTGTGTCTACTAAGTAGGACACGGGCATATTGAAATTTGTAATACCTTCGTCGTTTTCGCTATTACTTGTGACGTCACAGTCACCAGTTTCATCCCCATTCATTTGATCCTCGTTTGAGTTTGTGTCTTTTGAGCTCTGGCCAGCTTGGTCAGTTTCTTTTTCTATATTAGAATGTTCTCCGTCGTCGGATTTCTTGCACTCAACACCTTTCAAACCTTTACCCCTTCTATATTTGGCTCTTGCATTCTGGAACCACACCTGTGAAGTTGCAAATTCAGATGTTTGTTAGAAGCAAACTACATGCTTGGTTTGTGAGCCCCGACTTCGGCTTGCAAAACCCGATTTTAGAATAATCTCTACAATGCGTCACATTCTATGATCGTTTATATCCCTTTTTTTACCCCATTAAATATTAGTGGGGTGGGAATTTCATTGAAGAAGAAAATTGGAGTTTAAAATATATATAATATACATTTTTTTGGACACGAAATGGATCCGGTACTGTAAAAAATTTCATACTACTTTGTTTTGACTTTCGTTTACATATATTTAAGCATTGCTTTTTGTTTATTTTGAATCTTCATGATCGATATTGCATAGTAGAATAACCACGATTCCAGTAATTTTTTCAAAGTTTACTAATATACGTCAGAAATCATTACCTGAAGAACTCGTTTAGTGAGTCCAGTTTCTTGTGCGAGTTGTTTCAAATCCTTAGCGTCTGGGTTACGGTTCATGTTAAAATAACTTCTCATGGAACGAAGTTGATGGTGTTTGAAACTGGTCCTCATGCGCTTTGTCTTTTGAGGAGGGAATGATTCTCTATAATCTAAATGGGAGGGAATGAAGATAACTGAAAGTGAATGAAGTTACCTAAGTTATTTGATTAAATAGTGGATCCATTTTTTCGGGAAGTATCAATATCAATTTAATATAATTAATTGGTTAGCAATGTGAACTTGTTTAATATCCATGAAATTTTGCGGCATGGTTTAAATACTACCAAAATATATATTACAAATTCTAAACTATATATATATTTAAAAAATATCATTAATAAATGTGTTCAATGTTGTTAAATATTATTTTAAAAATTAGGAATGAATGTATTTTTACCGTTCAACGTTAATTCTGGTTGGGGCATATGACGTAAACAGACTCATAAAACAGAAGCCTAAAGTTGACACATACATGGCTCCTCATATATCAGTCACGCATGTGTGGGATTTGACCTGGAAGCTGGTCATGCACCAGTTCACATTAAGATGGCAAAGTCCTCGTACTTCCGAGATGTCAATGCATCAGGTCAGCTGATCAATTATAATACTAAAAACCATATTTCAAAGAATGAATACTTTTTTGACTTTCTTAAGTTAAAATTCCCTTTAAAAAAGTTTGGATTTCACATTGGTCGCTAAATGTCATATTAGTTAAATTTATAGAAGATTTAAATAATGACACAGTCTTGTCTAGAATATTTGCATTCTAACGCCCAGATCAGTATAAGAACATTATTTTCCTATACGTGAACGGTAGAGAAAAATTTAATGTTTAGAAATTTTTCCAATTTCAACAAATGCGAAGTGTCGTTTTTTATGTTTCTGATTTAAAAAGTACTAGTAGAATTAAATTTTCTATCGAAACATGTCCCTTACATGATTGTAAGGAACTTTACATTCCATCGTTCCGACTTTAACCCCCGCTAACGAGATCGACATCCGCAATCACCCAGACGGACAACCTAACCTGGCGGTCAGTACGGTCACGCACAAGTAGAAAGCAAACATTGCTGTGGTCACGACTGATTTCAATTTTGATTGATTTTTACCAGATATCATCTAATATATCAGTTTTAAACAAACATGATTGATCACCCCCATGTTGGCCTTGAGTGGAAAAATGGCGACAGTATTTATTAAGATAAAAGGTTTCTTAAATATAATATTCAACTCTTTTCGTTTTGAGGATTGTTTTTTCCATTTAAATACTATTGCATTATATTTCCTAATCCATACCTTTTATTTAATCCACAAATCGAATATTTAAAAAAAAAATTAGGTAATACTTGGTACTGAAATATTATACTTTGATTTTGTATATATGGGTATATATCAGATTTTATATATATATTACACATTTTTTAATAGTTCGATCGAAGAAGAAGAATTGTAGTTTTTGAAATGATAATATGACTTGTTTGTGTTTGCATACTTATAGATATATACTGTCAACTACGGGCGTTTATGAGATACATTACAACTATCAGATGTAACAAGGGATCGAAGCAATTGTACTGTCAATCACCAACGTAACTACCTACAATTCGACTCGAAGACCGTATATTTTTAAATCGGCTCATTCACTGGGTATTGTTAATTGGATTGAGTTAATCCGCTGCTAAATCTTCTTGTCTGGATCCGATCAGAATATTTATCGCTTCATCACAAAACGACAAAACGCAAGTTTATGGCGTTGCGCAATATCTTCTTCAGCATTCAATCGAATTTACGCGAATTTCATATGCAGTGAATCGAATTCGAAATTTCAATTTTAACATTTACAATTTTTACAATGTGTCTTTACTAATACCATTAATTAACTTGTTGCATAAATATTCAACAGTCATGACAAAGCAACATGCTTACAGTTACAATACAAATTTAGTTCTCATTTTGAGAACGCGTTATATATCTTCGTGGAGAACTTTCTTTATTTGTTAGTGAAAATTCACATTCTGTGGCGATCTTCGCGATGCCATAAATCGATTTTATATAGAAGTTACTGAAACAAGATAGCAATGCTCAAATAAATGAACAGGAAGACTAAAACGAGGTAGTTCGGTTATGCAATCAGTAAACAACTGGTACCGCAGTCTTCACGACTTCACCCGACCACCAAATAACAACGAACGCGAACGCGGAACCGCCACAAGTGAGCAAATTTTAATTTTTATGACTTCGCACAAAAAAACGAAATTTTTGAAATGAATAAAAGTAATAGCCTCCAATCGAGAAACGCAAGCTATTGGTCCAGTAGTTAATGAGAAAATTGATTTTTTCACAACAAGAAGAAGACAAGGAAAATGCCTAACAAGAACTACAACAACAACAGAACGATCCATAATTATGACCATTTTGTGTCCAATAATTTACTGGGATCCTAATTCAGTTTGTGTAATAAGGGGAGGGGTAACACTTATATTCATATTTTATGTATTCATTTTCGGCATTTGGTATCTTGTACACTTAATAAAGAAGCATGGTATAGTCTTATTAGGGTTAGTCACGGTGTTACCTTTTTCGCGTGCGACATCAGAAAATTAATCATAGCTACAAAATCTCAAACACGACCGAAAAATCAATGACTGAGAAACATCGGACTATTATACATAACTAAAATACATATACAACATAACACCACTAAATTTGGTGTGTTTCATGACATAAAATAGCGTGTATTTACTCTAGCAGGGAAAAAATTTTAATATCTGTAACAATGTAATTTACATTATACGCGTATTCGTATCGATTTTCAAAAAATTTAGGATACTAAATTAATATCTTATTACAATCCGTAGCATGGAATGGTCACAAATTTAAAACTACACAACCAATTGTGATCGATTTGACTGTTTTTTTTTAAACTGTACATCATTTGTTTTTACCAACAGATTAGGTTCACCACACTTCACGGAATATGCGCGATTTCCTGTGAAATTTGTGCTCGCGAAATATTTTTGCCCTTGTTTTGTTTATCGCAATCCAAGGTCAATTTGTAAACAAAATGGACGTTGTTCTTTTTCGACGTATAAAGCAAATGCGCATATGTAGTAAAGTCTGTATAAATTAATAAACAAGATGAAAGCTATGGCATGCTTCAGCATGTCCAGATCTTAGGTTACTGAATTTTGGGAAAACTTAAATTTGGTTATGGCTAATTGTTCTTGTAAATGTCGGACAAGGTAACTTGTTTCTACACTGTTGCAATACCTTTTGGTCAATAATAAATTATTGAAAAAATGAAAAGTCTCTAAACCGAATGAAATTTTGAATTTTCGTAGAAAATTTTTGATTGAAGTAGTATTATAATACAAAAGAATAATATTTGAGCGAAATCACTGAAGTTTGGTTTAGGCGTGTAAAAATCCACTGATATATTTTAGCAACAAGATACTCTTCTGTGCAATAAGCATGACTGAAGAGATAGAAATTTATTTGCTTTTCTTGTCACCCGTGTCCAAAGTATGATAAGATAAAAATCAACATTTATCTTTATATCTTTATTTACATTTTTACGTTGTCTGAAGTTGAAGTGCTTGGCAAACAGACTCAATTTACCTAAAGTTTGCAGAAAATAACTATAATTTCAGAATTTCTGTTCTATTTCTCGTCAAATTTTAAAAATGTAGGACAACTAATTTTTTCAAAATTTGATTTAATTGATCAATCATCTAGAAAACCGCTCTTTGGACAGGCAATAACAATTTTTGTTCCTGGTGTATATTATAAGTTGATCACTTAACCTAGGCAAACGAATTAAGTTTTAGTAAGTAGTCTATGCAATAGCAATAAAAGGTACTCCAGATGTAATGGAAATTTGAATCTTAGTATTTGCTGATTGCATACAACCTTGCAGTTTGTTTATCATAAGATTTCCAACTTGTAGCACATGGGAAATCTTATGTAAACGTATTGCAAAGTTGATAGTTTAAACCACAAAATCTGTGTTAGTTTGATCAATGTTGCCTATACAATATAACTTTCTCTTCCGTGCGGAGGGGCAAAGTTCAAATTGTATCTTTCTAGATGAATTTTTCTTGTGTTTAAAGGTCAGACGGATGAACCCACCTACGCGGGAAAAGTCGCAAAACAGTGATAATATCACGTTCAGCAAACATTGGGATGTAAACAAGCGATTTAAATGTCATCAATAACTGTCTATGACATTGTTTAAAACCTGTTAAGGTTATGAAGAATTGTTTCATCATGGTTTTTAAGATTGTCTAGATAACAAAGATATTGCGATATACATGCTTCAGGTCACTAACCCTGCGTTTCCATATAGCCTAATGGTAAATGAATTTGGATAGGAACAAAAATGCAGCAATGCGATATGCTAGATTGAGCCTTCACTAAAAATGTATTCTTTTGACCCGTAAAATTATTAATATAAGATAAAGCAAAAATGTATTAAGCAATGGTTTATATATGCAGGAGGTTTCAAATTTAATTACCCGATCCATATGCCAATCCGCTTGTCGTCTCAATTGATAAAGATGGTTCTCCTTTCCGTTTCCCAGGTTTTCTTCCAGATTCGTCTTCATAGTAGGATGGAAATTGAGCGTTGGGACCATTTGCTTGATTGCAATATTCCTATAGTTATAAGGAATTTTAATTTCAAATACAATTATATCATAACGGATTAACACTCGGTGAAGATATTAAACAAAATATTGGAAAATATTACTGATATATATTAAGTCGATACATTATGCAATGTTGGATAAAAATCCTGAAACCTCAAGTCATGATTATTGTCGAGTTACGAGCCACCCGAATAGCGAGTCGAGTCAATCATTACGCTATGTTTCATTAGTTGATGCCGAGTCCGAGTCATTTCACTTAGATGACATGCGTACATTCATAGGGACAAATTCAGATGAAGTATATTACAATCGTATAGTTACATTTTATCATCAATCATTATTTTTGTATTAATAATATTACCGCGTGTTTCCAACAGTTGCAGCAATGCAATCTTCCAGTGTCTTGATCAATGCTGAATCTTTCTCCTGGAACCAATATTCTTCGACAAGTTATGCATGTGAAACAAGCGACGTGATATATAAGCTCACGTGCTTTCATAATCAAATCTTCTGCGCTAATCCAACATCCGCATCCTGCACATGTACGTGAAGTTTGCAACCTAGAACTGGGAATTAATTAGATTAGTATTTTTTTCGAACATATCACAAATTGTAAAGAAATACTACTGTTAAATACTGATTGCAGCCGATGTGAAAATTAGTAAGGGTCAGTGCACAATAGCCAAGGCGCGATATTTCAACACTTTTTCAGTCGTGCTTCAAACATGCGCGCACTGAGTTCTATAAAATTAAAAAAAAAATAGTTTTCACTAGGACATAGGCTGGAAAAATCTATTGCCACATTAAACTATAAAATAGTCAGGGTTGGAATGGGTTGCAAAGTTGGGCTGGGTTCAATTTTTTTAAGTTTTGTCTCAATCAAGCGTTCTTACCTGTAGTAGTCTTCTTTACACAGTATATTTCCATCTTTCATAAAACAGGAGTTTGCACTGTTGAGGGTGCAAGCACACATTGAACATTTCAAGCAGTCAGTGTGCCATGCCTTGCCAGCCATTAGAAGATATGACTGATCAAAAATATAGTATCCACACCCGGAACACGCAGAAGGACCCTAGTCGTATAAATAGGTTCATTTATTATTATTCATAATTCAGAATAGAAAATATATAAAAAAAATTGAAATTTTTTTGACAGATGTGTAAAATATTAGTATAATGTACTATTGCATCGCAATAAAACACATTTTTTAGAAATCTAAAATCGAACTTTTACATAATTTACATAATATTGAAACACGCAATTTCTGAATAATACCCCCTTTATACATACTCTATTTTCATGAAAGGCTTCGATCATTGCATTATTATGCACCCGTTATATCTGCAGACTTTTTTTATTACTACTGAAAAATTACATCGTAAATTTAAACCTTATATGTGGTTCGAACTCACATGTGAACTGAAAAATAAAACCCATTTGGCTATTTTATCTGATTCATTTCGGGTTGAGCTTCAAAACTCAACAATGAAACAGGAACAATTCTAAAATGACCTAAAAATGACTCTATTTACCGGAGATTGTTCGTTGTGTAAACTGTGATCCTCAGGTGAAGTTTGAGATTCGGAAAGAACAGAAAACGCATCTGTCACATGTTCACTTGTCATGTCTTCTCGTATTTGCATATAACCTGTGGACGCCTCTTGTAGTTCCAATAACATCTTATGGAGAATAACAAAAATCTAAAACATCTGCAAGTTGGAAAGTATAAAAAATAAATAAAATTTATGAATACTGACTCTTCACGTAATCGTTTTTCATCAAACCTGCTCGTTTGTTCAAAACGACATGAATAGTGAAAGTATAGAAAACAAAAAATATATAATATTTTCTACATGGCCCGACTGTAACTATTCTGGCTACATGACTACATGACCTCTATCGGAAAGTTTGTACTTTTCTATCCGAAAACCCGAGACTTCAGAAATAATATTTGTCTCAGTCATCCACTCCAGAAATAAAAAAGACCTGTCTATCTTATGAACGAAAAACGTCTTTAAAGGACACATCGGCGACATAATTTTCAGCCCGTCTATATTTAAGCCGTCCATTGTCAATAAATCCATTCAAATGCGCCGAGGTTTATCTATTGTCACAATTTTCCGGTTTTTATCTCCCCAGCGGGATATTCTACCTGTAAAAGGCGTGAGGACATTCGCTACATGATAAGTCTTTCTAATCCTAGTTAATTCGACCTCACATATTCTGGACGGCATTCCGCATTTGTACCAGTAAACATAAACGTCGATAGATGCATAAAATAAACATATCTCAAAATAAATTCCAAAGATTGAAATTTGAATTATCGTTATTTGAAATAATTTTTTTCAAATTATTCAGCATTTATGGTAAACCGTTTTCAAATATAGGATTATTTCAAACTTGAAACATTTTTGAAAATATGATTATAAAGTCCTTCACATGACTTGCCCAAACTTATTCATTGTTCGATGATTTTGAAATTTGTAAGTATAAAATTTTGAAACTAAAAACGTTTTGTTTTCATATTCTACATTCACAAAACTTATTTTGAACTTGACAAAAGGATACTTCACTATGGCGCCAATGCTATATATTATAATACCTGTTCTTCACACTTGAAATGAATTCTTCACCACGAATATTTTTCATTAGTTAAAATACCACAACCCAAACCTATGTGAGTAAATTATGATTGCCTATTGCAACGCTACAAGTGCAACAAGAAATACTCAGGTTGAAAATATTCTTCATCCGTTTAGTACTGGTTTATATAGTTCTCTTCACCTAACGTCGTTTTTTAAGCATCTGTATTACACATAATCAGTGCATTTAAATGAAGCAAGGAAGCACGCATGAAATAACCACGATAGGCCGTCTGACGGTTCGCGTATGCATTTTACGCAAAGCCACTTATATTAGTACAATATCCTATCGACCGTTTCTAACCCTGAAAAAAGTTATATTCAATCCTGATTCATACATGATAACAGCACAGTTTTCTTTTGACTCAGACGCCATTCATGCTTGACTCAAGGATGATAAATATGAAAGAACGTGAATGTTTTCACATTGAAAAATTCAACGTTCACTCTAGCGTAAGTTTAAATCTTATTTGTTTTCCGAATAAACCGATTTATTTTGGCACCCGCTGTTACGACATAAAAGAACAATAATATTGCAGTGAAAAGAATCGTGCGCATTCCCAGGTTGATGACGCAATTTGTTCCATGACGTCACGAATCCGAAGGAGCAAGTGGAAGTATAAGAAGAGAAATTTGTTATGTGCCAGTCCTTTTGAAATGATGTTTCTGAAGCTATCGGGAGTTGATAGTTAAAACAAATGCCATTATAGTAATGCCTCACTATCTTCAACAAGTGAAGATTTCAAATGATTTCATGTAAAATGAAATATGCCAAAATAGCATTTTTCAGATCGACAACAGTCCATACTAAATTGGTTTTGCGGTACTTATCATATATCACTTGTCATATATTGTGGTTGCACATTTTCAGTGGAGTCCGTTTAAATCGTTCTATGAATGAAAACTGCCAAATATTTACAGTAAAAAGCTGTACACTTAAATACCCTAACGCTAACGGTTATTCTATTTATCTTATTATAAAAAAATTTCCAGTACAAAACCCAAAAAATGTTTTGTGCGAATCATTATTTTTTAATTACATTACATTTTTTAATTACAATTTTGTCGTTGTTTATTTAATATTAATTTATGGTTATTTTTTAACATTTTTGTGATTAGAATTTTGTAAATGATTGATGCTTTTTCGAAAAACGTATATTCCATTTTGACAAAAATATGTAAATGAGATGTTTAAGATTCTAGTAGGTTTGCCACAATTATCTTACAGGGATAACATACGCATAAGAAGACCAGTAATGTTTATCCTTCAATTGCGTCATGGAGATGATTCGTTCGGCAAACAATCTACTAAACAAAATGGCGGGTGTAATAGGTGAGACTGCATTACACGGTACAACTGTCATTGTATATTTTGCGCAGAAATCTTTAATTTTGCTTTTCTTAATATGCCAAGAACTAATTACGAAATAAAACAAACACTTACATTTTGATTACCATATGGGCTATAGATTTAGATCGATGCATGATCACATGCACGTTTTGTTGGGACCTGAAACAAAAAAATGAATTACGAAACAAGCTACCTTTCAAAAGCTTTTGCGAGAAGAAGGAACAGCTAATGCAGATAACTTTAATCATATATTTGCATACGATGATTTCCATAACATAATTATTGTGGGAAAAATGAAATTGAATCCCCCCCCCCCCCCCCCCCAAAAAAAAATGTCAACATTTTCATAACTAAGAAGCAAATAGCTATGCTTCTATGTTTATGAGTCGTGACGAATTGACGTCCACCCTTTTTAAAGATTCAACTAAATGTTATTACTTCACAGTTAATACTAAGCGCGTCTTACCTTTGCCTAAAAGTCATATGCAAGTTAGCTCTACCGTTGCTTGTTTCATCCCTTGCTTAGAAATGAAATTTATCAAATAATACAATTCGACAATTTTATTAATTCGAAAACGTTTGCTCCAACTTTCTTTGTGATATTTGTTTAATATTATGATACAATGAAAATACGAATTTCTATATGAACAAATTCCAAAACAATGATTTTAGACTCCATTTGTTACTACTACCAATCAAGAAATAAAATACGTTAGATTAACCTGAACTGTTTTAAAAAAATTTTGAATTTATTTAATAAAACACAGAAAATCAAAAGTGATGTCATCACTGTATTGCGAGCCAGAATGAAACTAAAAGTCGAATACATCTTGTTGTGATTTCTGGATATTTATACTAAAATTTCAACATTCAATTATTCTATTGGTAGAGAGCATCATGAGAAAAAATAAATAAATATCCGCTGCCTACGTGAAATTGTATTTGGTTTATTTATTTGTCTAATGTTCGACCACCATGCATGTGAAGCATTAGTTTCGAAGAGTTCGCATGATTAATAAACTAACATCCGTCTAACAATATTTTATTCCCAACCAATTAAAAACACCAACGACCAAAAATAATCATATTGACCAATAAAACAATATATTATCTCTCATGTTTATTTTAAACTTCAATTTGAATACACACTGGTAATTCTAATTCACGTCCCTTATGCTCTACCTAACTTTGTTCTGATTTGCAATTCTTGTTAACTTTATTTATTTTAAAACATTCTATATTTTCATAAAACTGGTTAAAAAAACACAATCTAAGACATTTCGATACTTGTAGCACACTTGACGTAGTCTGAAAAAACATTCTTTGCATTTCTCAAAACAGTTCAACAGAAATTTGACACTCATACTTGACTTTCTCTACATTTGGTTGCTTGTTTCGGAAATGTGAAAACTGAAATACGGGCCTAACATAAGCTTCCATCAAATAGTCAGTCAACAAACAGTACGACAGCATTATTTGTATAGTAAACTTAGTATGAATTTTGTGCAAAAGCTCAAACATTGGACATATCTCTCAGTCATAAACAAAATCATTTTTGATTATTAGCGTGTGCTATTAAAAAATTCTCCATTCTCCCCGGAGTAAACCTAATTAGAGAGTATTGAATATAATCTCTCTGCACTTTTCAATAAAATTGCGATTCATATTCTGTTGTCTGAGTCTACCATTTTGAAGCGAGAAATTATATGTTTTAGCTTTTGTCACTCAAATTAGTCATCCATCCAGTCTATCGCCATATTTTTTCACTCAGCGCTACGCGTGAGAAAGCGTTATCCATTTTGACAATTTATCATGAATTTGTATTTCAAAGCTTGGCAAAGTTGAGACCGGATCAGTTCTAAACTATTGAAAAATAACTAATAATTGTCCAACGATTTCTATGTCTGTTACTTGATCATCTATGCTGGCGACCACAGACAGACAGCAACTGAACTTTTCACATAGTTTTCAGTCCTCCCTATTTTTGTTGTAAAAAATAAAATAAAATTGCTTTTAGATGCCGAATAGATGGTGTCAGATCATGTTTACGATGATATAGATTATAAAACAGCGTAGACAACGTATCCTAAGTTTTTTTGTCTAGAACGTATTTTACATAACAAAATTGTATCATATGTACGGTTTGTCATTTATAATTCACAACGTAAAATATCTTTAATACACTTCGGTAAATGTAAAATAATAAAAGGATACAAAAAGTATGATTGCTCAAAAATGTAGATGAGCATGTCATATACGAATTAGGGTGCTCCTGAAGTATGCGCACCAAGATGTCGCATTACCTGAACCCTAACCTGTTACACAACCTGAGTTCAGTTACCTCAGCTCCAAAATCAAATACAGGTAATGCCTCTCGACTCCTTGCATTATGAATGACTGAGTAAATAAAATAAAATGCTTCAAGCTGTGTCGAAAGCAAAAGGTAAACTGTACGCTGGTCTTAACCTTAAATGTTTATTAATTGGTTTTATATTGTTAATTCCTGATTAAATAATTATTATTCGGTTTAGCTTAACTCGATTCCCGTCCCGTGAGAAAGTAGGAGGATTATTTTGTATTACTAGGATTATAAAATAAATCTTTTGTGCGTTTATTAGTAACATTTCCTACTTGTCTTGCGAATTACCAGTAGTAAACGAAATAAGTTAAAATACTGACATCAAACACTATCAACCAGTAGCTGTCTTATCATATTATTTTTACGAGCAAAGATGTAAAATACCTCATAAATATATAGAGAGAGAAACAACAATAACTAAGACTAATAAAATATTTATTTATTTTACTTTATCAAAGAATGTATCTCTATATCTTCATATATATATATTTTGTTATCTTTTTATGCTCTCCACAATATGCAACAGACGCAACAGCATATATTCAGCTAAAACCAAGTATAACCAGGAAAATTTCATAACAAATCATTCGCAAATTTACATTTGTTTGAAAGATGAGTGGCGTAAAAAATTTACCTGGTTAAACCAAGAAAAAAATTTGAATTGAGACCCGCGTGCTTGCTCAGCGGGTATATCAAGATTAGCCTAAGGAATTTAATGACAGCTTTATCACGCGTGCTTGAGAAACAACTCCTGCTAACGTCAGCTGAAAGCCTGGTGCAACTTGAAACTAAAACTATCTGTGATTGATAGTTTTTTGAGGGAAACAGCGAAGTCTTAAACGCGCCCTTTCAAATCGCATTTTCATTCTATTAATTTTTGAATTCTAAGTAATTTTTTGTATCTCTTCCGACGACAATGCAAAACGACGAAGGGCGTTTGACTCTTTGTCAAGAAGACTTGTGTGATGGCATTTGGTATAATTCAAACAAAATATCACCCAGAAACACTTTACAAGCAATTACTGTGCGATCAAGCGTGAACACCAGGACAATGCGTGGCCCAAACACACATTTTCGCAACTGCTAATTTAAATTGAAAATTATATAATTTTTTATGGACATGCTTAAAAAATAAATTATATTTATTGCAAGAGTTTTGATTGTGTCTTACATTTATATTTTAACGACTGGATTTTTTAACTATTTTGCTGAATTACTGCGCTAGAAAACTACAGACAATGCATGGCGACACTTCGGTCGCCCAAAATATGATCTTTTGATCTTTAAAATTTACTTAACTCCAGACTTTTGAAGATATTTGGTCAATATGTAAACAACGCAATACAAACCCACAACAACCTAGGCCGTCATATTCACACATTGTCA